TTTGTTTGAGTTAATTGGTGGTATTCGTGGCAGCTAGCGTGCAAGCAAGCAAGCCAGCATGCATGCTTTCTATATTGCCCCACGCATGGAATCATATTAGGATGGTCGCATGGTTCAACGTACATTCACCCTTTTGTGTGATTATGAATATGTACCTCAGCACATTCGCCCCCTCCCCTTTTCAACCTTTGTTTGTTATGTGGTTAATTGCAAAGCATAAAAGACAAACATAATGAAAACAAGGAAAGGAAACCTCTACTAATTGCTAATGTCATTTCAATATCAAAATGGATGGTGAAACATTTATTTCTATATAATTGGAAGTTTGTATTACTCTTTAAAGAATATTTGCACTAATATCATTATTCATTCATTTAGGTTCATATCCCTATATATGTTTTATATTATGCAAATTACAGTAGCAAAGCGTAAAAGGTATATAATTTGTTTAAAAAAAAAAAATTATCTAGCTAGCAGGACTTGCAGGTAAATGTACTCATTTCCGAGATGGCTAAAAATTTTCCTTTTTATTTAACCAAATATACAAGTGATTAAGACTCTGATTTTTTAGTCCTCAAATTGGGAAGATTCCCACAGAACCTTCCTCAATTGTACATTACTATATATATTGTATATGGATTTGAGCAGATTTCTTTTGCTTCCTTTTTGATAATGGGCCATTAATTATATGTTTTTCACAATGTTTGTCATAAATTAATATGGTAAAGATGTACTTGGGGTACTTGGCATAACCGGCAGAGAATCTAATATCTTCCTAGATTGTGCAAATGAGATGCTGGTTCGCTGCATACATATATACAAAAAGACAAAGTAATTAAAATCCTTGTTCTTTGTCTCTCAAACACTATATCAAACTTTAATCCTCCGTTTTCTGATTATGTTACTTATTGACTAAGATTTATCTAGGAGACAATAAATCAATATATAGAACCGGATTGGCTCAATTATCCATTTGTCACATGGCATGGGTCACATTCCAGCTTGCATCAAAGGATGCAAGAAAAATGGGAGGTTTCTTTCCCCAAAGTTATAGCTCTATTTCTCTGGGATTTAGCAAAGTTAATTTTATTGTTCCTTCAAATTACACACAAGAATTGTATGCATTACTATTTGCCTCTATCTCTCTCTACCTTGGTTTCAAGCAAATGAACAAATTGGATGCACATTGAATTGAGGGAAATTCAGGATAACGCGGTGAGGAAAATAAATCTAAGGTGAACACAAACCACTTGTCTCCAAAAGTTGGGTATTCCAATACTCTATAGGTTCTTTTACTTTTACATTTTGTGTTACAATTTTTTTTTTCTTATGTGCAACAGTGCAAGGGTGAATGAATTGGATATAATAATAGAAGTAGCAGCCTGTCATTCTAGGACCATAAGTGAGAGCATGAGCATGGGTGAAGGAATGCATGAGTTTGCTCTGTTTAAAGGCACCAATATCGATGTAGGATGGGCTCATGGCTGCTTATTCATTTTCCGACAACGCAACAAAGACATCCTTCACTGCCCTTCCGTTGGTTGGCTAAAGGTAAGGCAAAGGTCAGGGAAAATTTAAAAATAAAATAAAGAGTAAATATCATTTTGGATCCCTAACAAAAAATATGGTCCCCACTTTAGTCTCTTACAAAAATAAATTAGTCAATTAGTCACTAACAAATTCAAAGTGGACCATTTAGTTGAAATCGTGATCTTTCACAAATTCAAAAAGACCCATATTAGTCCCTCAAAAAGACTAAAATGGGTCCACTTTAAATTTGTTAGGGACTAATTTATTTTTGTAAGGGACTAAAGTGAGGACCGTGTTTTTTGTTAGGGACCCAAAAGAGTATTTACTCTAAAATAAAATAAAAACCTTTGGAATATATTTGATTTTGCATGCATATATATATATAGGATTCGCTTTTGTCATGTCACATGACAAGAGCGATTTACCTGCACACACAAATCAAATGTGGATCCCACACTTAAAAAAATAATCAGCGTACGAAACCGGATCCTTGTTGCAGGAATGAACAGTGTCATTCGTGTAACATGATTCTTATATTTTCCATATATATATAAGGAGAGTTATATTTACAAACTTTTTGTTTACAAATTACATTATATTCTCCCGGAGAGTACATAGTGTAATTTACAAAAATTTATAGAAAAAATTTGTAAACGAATCCTTCTCCATATATATATATATATATATATAGGGTTTTATTATTCTCCTTCAACATAAGATAGATATCTTATGTTGTAGAGAGAAAATGAGTGGGTCCCACCATTACAAGAAAAAAGAAAAGAAAAAGAAAAAGGTGAGGTGCGGAAATCGAAGTGAGAGAGTAGGAGATAAGTAATCTTATGTAAAAAGAGACTAATATTTCCCATATATATATATATATATATATATATATATATATATATATACGATTTCGTTCTTCTCCCGCTTCACTCCATTCTTTAGAAAATATAAGTTAATTATCAAAAGATTAAGGGTGTTTGTATATTGAACAATTGATACCATTTATCACAAACTAATGGGTTTAGTTAAAGTAAATTTTTCTACAGGATCATCTTATTGATTAAGTTAAAAATGCAAATCCAATTTAATCTAAATTGATTTAGATTCGATTAAATTTTTTATTTTTAATTATTTTAATATATAATTAAGTTTATCAAAATATAAGAATCTAATTTCACCAAAATATATTAATTATAAGTCTAAATTAGTTGTTAAAAATATATTAAATAAAAGTTCATTCACATTCATCAAAACACAGATTTAATTATAATTATAATTTTAAGTTAATTACCAATTTTATAATAAAGGTTTGAATGCAAGAAAAATTAAGTAGTTTTACTTATAATTTAAAAAGTCCTTAAATATGTACTAAAAAAATTCCTTGAATAAATATGTATAATATAAAAATTTAGATGAAATACTATTTAAATATATAAAATTTCAATTCACAAAAGTTTTCAAATATAAATTAAAAACCGATTCAGTTTATTTATTTTTTATTTTTTCATTTTAATAAAAAAATTTGTTTTATTTTAATTAAATTGATTGGTTTTTTAACACATCTAACCAAACACTCTCCCAAACTATATAATAAAAGTTACTCTACTTACACACACACACACACAAAGTTACTCTATGTAGAAAAGCCTCTGGAGCATTTGATGACCCCCAATCTATCAAATCCGACCAATACACTCTTCCCACTGAGGCATATGTGACTGAGGAGCACCTTAATAATTTCGGTGAAAGGGGAATGCATATATTTCTACCACAAAAAATATGTACTATATATATCAATTCTATATTTTCTGAATATATCGTTCTTTTAGGCACACGCCGCTATCTTTATGTTTTTTTCCACCTTCCTCCACATCCCTGGTCTTCTCATAACTATTGCAAGTCAAACTTGATCCATTATTGACATAAAACACACAAACACTGCTTTCTGTTTCTAGCAATTGACATTACTTGGTTGGGACATATATAATTATTTGATACATACAAAATAGTATTCCAAAGAATATCATTTCAACATAAGCTTTATATGTTAAACCTTCAATGCCAAGTAAGTATATTGGATACTTTTTTTTCTACCAACTAGTATCTCTCTCTCTTTGATCAATGGTAATTAGATATAGTTGGTAGTGAAAAATTTTGGTAATAAGAATATCCTCCCTCGTTGGATACATAGGAAAATCTAGATTTAAATCCTGGTATATAAATCAAAAGAAGGATAGGAAAAAAAAATAGGATCCTCCAAAAATTGTAAGATTTTTCTTTTTGGTTGTATGCGTTGTTTTGACATATCCAAAGAAAATATTACTGGAAATTGAACAATTAACAACAGAATGCATAGTAATTAAGGTGTTGCCAATCTTTTTGTAGCATTCATAAAACTCTCGTAATTAGCCAGGTAGAATTCATATATAGTACTATAGGCACATGCATGCTAGCTATATATATAGGAATATTCTATGTTCATTCTAATGTGGAATAATTATAAAAACATAAGTTATTATGCTATGTTTGGAGCTATAATAATTTTTCATGTAGGATTTCCCGTGTTTTACACTTATTACTAAATATTCCAATGCCATCAAAATTATCAACAGAGACCATTGGATCTCAACCTTTTTTAGTGCTTTATTCTCAATGATGATCAAACAATCTCAAACAATGGAATTTGCTATAATAAAGTGGACCTTGGACCTCAAATTATAAAGATTCAAGAAATACCAGTCAATGGAATTGATGAAGGATCTTTGGACCAATGAAGACTGACTTTTATTTAGCCACTAGCTAGACTTACCATTTTACTGTTATTATCACTACACTCTCAAGTTTCAATTTCAATTCCTTATTTTAATTGGCTATGTCTGTAACATGTTAGAAGTAAGAGAGAATCGAAATTCGAGATATTATTGCTGTTAATCTCACAAACAAATCAGTAAGAACAAAATCAATTACTTTATGAACTTTAAAAAAAGGAGTAGCCAATAATGACATGGCCCTCAATATTCCTCATAGACATAGAATATAACAGCACATTTAAATAAAAGTGTTTCTTTGCATCCAAACATAGCAGAAAAAGTTTTCTTTACCGACTAAGATATCAATAATACAACAACAACAACAACAGTTTAACTAAACTAAAAACAATGAAGTAAAAAACAAAGCACAAAATCCCAACCCCCAACTTAACACAAAGAAAAAGCAAACAAATTCACATAACCCCCCACCTTAACGCAAAGAAAAAGCAACGAGCTTCCACCTTCATAATCATGAGTGAAGCTTCTACGCGCTTTTATAGCGACTGAACCTTAAACCAGTAAGTAAGAAACTGACCCAACCCAACACCACCCCTTTCATGCCACAATCTACCACGCCCTGTCACTGCATGTGGTTTTAAATACTTTAAACTCACTCACTCACCTCTTGCACCTCTCTCTCTCTCTCTCTCTGGTTATTTCTTAATAAACACATTCTGGTATCACTCTTCATCAAACACCCCACGAGCCTCTTCCAGCATTTTCAATCCCCTTCTCTTTTATCCTTATCTCACTGCCCCTAAACCTCCCCACACTTCAATTATTTATTTCTATCTCTCTTTCTCTCTCATATACATTTTCTCATACACATGGTGCCCTTCACTTTGCTCTAGCTCAAACCTATCAAAACCCATCGACCCATCAAAAAACAACGACGACCCATTTCAGCAAACAGGGCCGAGAAGCTCAAAATCAGCCATGGCCCTCGAAACCCTCCTATTCAAAGTCAAAACCGCCATATCAAACAGCTTCGACTCGGTTCCGCCGAAGCTTCTGAAGAAGAAACCTTCCTTCAAGTCCAAACAAAACGTCGGCGTATTGGCCTTCGAGATCGCCGGAGTCATGTCGAAGCTCCTCCACCTGTGGCAGTCCCTCTCCGACGCCACTATCATCCGCATCCGAAACGACGCCGTCACGCTCGAGGGCGTTCGGAAGATCATCTCCAACGACGAGTCCTTCCTACTCGGACTCGCCTGCGCCGAGTTCGCCGAGAGCCTCCGACTCCTCGCCAACTCGGTCACCCGACTCAGCCACCGGTGCGATGACCCGACCCTCCAGTCCTTCCACTGGGTTTTCCTCGAGTTCGCCGATTCGGGCCGCGACCCACACGGGTGGGCCCTCTCGGGCCCGAAGGAAACCGAAGCGAAGCTCAAGAAAATGGAGCGTTACGTGACGGTCACGGCAACTTTGTACCGCGAAATGGAAGAGCTTTCGGTTTTGGAAAGTGGGCTGAGGAAAGCTTTGAATCATAGCAATGTTGGGAGTGAAAACAATGAAGGTTCTTTGGTTGGGAAAGAGCAGAAAATCTATGAACTTCAGCAGAAGATTTTTTGGCAGAAACAAGAGGTGAAGGATCTAAAAGATAGATCTTTGTGGAGCAGAAGTTTTGATAGTGTTGTTATATTGCTTGTGAGGTTTAGTTTCAGTGTTTTGGCAAGGATTAAGGTTGTCTTTGGAATTGGTCATTGTGTGCCTTGTTTGTCTCGTAGTTTGTCAACTTCGGCCACTGTTTATCCCTCTGATCAAAACCCTACTTCTTGTCATGAATTCGTTTCTGGGTCATTGGAAAGTTCTAAACTTGAAGAGAAGGAAGGAGGTTTGGGAAGTGGGTTTTTTGAGTCCAACTCCAAGCTTTTGAAGCCACCTCCCAGTACTTTGGGTGCTGCGGCTTTGGCTTTGCACTATGCCAACTTGATCATAGTGATGGAGAAAATGATTAAGTCACCACATTTGGTTGGTGTGGATGCAAGGGATGATTTGTATGCTATGTTACCAATTAGCATAAGGTCAGCTTTGAGGGTTAGGTTGAAAGGAGTTGGGTTTTGTGCAAGTGATCCTGTTCTTGCTGGTGAATGGAGGGACGCATTGGGGAGGATACTGGGGTGGTTGTCACCCTTGGCACATAACATGATCAAGTGGCAGAGTGAAAGAAGTTTTGAGCACCAAAATTTGGTGCCCAAGACCAATGTGCTGCTATTGCAGACTTTGTTCTTTGCAAACAAGGAGAAGACAGAGGCTGCTATAACTGAGTTGCTTGTGGGATTAAACTATATTTGGAGGTTTGAGAGGGAAATGACTGCTAAGGCATTGTTTCAATGCTCCAATTTCAATGGGTCCTTAAATTTGCAGAAACCCACTTAATGTCATGGGTTTCTTTTTCTTTTATTCCCTTCTTCCATAATAGGGGTTCTAATTTTGTCTCTTGAAATTTTATGGTGGTTGATTATAGATAAATTGAACTAAGTTCAGAGCCTTATGGGTTTGTTTTGCTTCTAACCCAGATCTGTAAATCAGTAAATGGAATATCGATGTTTGTAAATGAGATATGATTTTTTTAGTGAAGTCTCCAAGAAATGTATTGGCTTTAATGATTCATACTTCCACAATCATGAGAAAATATTCCTCGTGTTCAATTATAATTTGACCATAATCTGTGTTATTGATATTTATATTGCTGGAATTTAATGGTGTTGGAATTGTTTGTGGCTGCACCACTTGTTCCAGAGACAATTCTGTGTGGTTCATGTGATAAGCATTAAACTACTAACTATACTCATTAATCCTTCCATATCTTGATTGCATTAACTTCATATAAATAAACTAACCAGAATGGGCCCTGCTATCATTTGATACACTTGCGTTCGGATTAGGATACATAGCAACTTAACATTGCATGGTGGAACTGAGAGGGGACATTTTTCCGCTCTTGTTGACTTGTTCCCACGCTCTAACAGGAGGGGTATATAGAGGCGTTTGTATATACATATGGGCTATGGCTTATCGTTTTCCAAGTTATTTGAATTTTTTTTATCTATTCAGTTAATATTGTGATAAAGGAAGAGAGAGTAAAGATAATCATAATTATTTAAGAGTGAATCAATTAATATAAGAAAATAAATAAATAAAACGACATAATTTTCATGTGGACGGTGATAATATATCACAAGCTGCTTAAAAAATATTTTTCTTATATATATATAGGTAAAATTATTTCTACAATCGCTTTATGTACAACAATTATATGTGTATGGTTATGATTTTCCACATTTAATGCTTTCATCTTTTGTATGGTTATGATTTTTCACATTTAATGTTTTCATGTATATATATATATAGAGAGAAAGAGAGATAAATATTTTTATAGTCACTTTAGATAGATTATCTACAATTACTTTTTATAACTATGTATTACCAGTAATACATAATTATAATATTAAAATTGGTTGTTTTTCGCTTTTTTGTCATCTTCTTCTTTTTAGTGATACATCCTGATTAAAGATTTGAAAATAATAACAGGTTCAATTATTCCAAGTTTCTAGTAAATGTCACGACCTTTTTCAATATTTATTACTCAAGGGCTCTACGGAAGATAATCGACCAAGCAACTGTTTGTATTTCTTTATTAACGTAATTTGTACATACAAATATATAAAAAGTGTTAGAGAAAGATAATATTATTAATATAGTCTCATCCAGTATTTTGAAATAGTATTTTCCATGGTATTAAAATTGTAGTGACCAAGTAGTCACGAGTTTGATGCTTATCGCCTAACACTTTAGAATGAAATTAAGTAAAGACAGGGTAAATCAAAAAAATTGTTTGTGCAATATCCATATTTTAAACCAAAAGGCTCTTGTGTGAAAAGGGTATGTTAAAGAGATATAAAATCATTAATGTAGCTTCACTTGTGAGTTAAAATGATTCTTTACATGATATCAGAACTAGAGTGACCAAGTGGTCACGAGTTCGATCCTTATTGCCTCTCATTTTGTGGTAGAATTAAATAAACACAATATAAACTAAAAAATAGGTATGTAACACAAGATAGAAAGAAAAAATGGGACTCTAATTTTGGGTTGAAGTGATTGTGTTTTAAAAAAAAAAAACAGCATGAATGCTACCTTAACTCTCTCTCTCTCTCTCGTTTTTATGTTTTTTTCCTTTTCATGCTCACTTTCTATTTCGCCACACTTGACTACTAATCAAAATAAAGATGTTCAATAGTTTTTCTTTTGCCATTTTGAAAAAAAAATTACCTAAATCACGAATTTCGAGAATATGATAAAAAAATAAATTTTTTGTAAATATTATAAAAAATTATTTGATAGGTCAAAATATTATCGAAATTTTTATTAGAGATTTTCCACATCTACTTTTTTATTTTTATGAAAAAGAGAGAATACCACTCTCTGGGTGGTATTTTGTTTTCCATTTTACTCACAAAACAAAATCCCCCAAAAATCATATTTCCAAAAAAAAAAATTAGAAATTTTCTATCAAATATGAATAAGTTCAATTACCACCTTCACTTTGATGCGAATCTGAAAATAAACACCCCGAAGAATTCCTTTAACTTGACAATTGGGCTTTTCATATAAATTTCTTACGTGATAATATAAAGGAAAAAAAAAATAAACAGAGAGATTCTAAATAAAATCTCATTAGTTCCTCCATTAAAATGTACGGAGTTTAATTTTAAATTTTATATTTAACTCTCCCATATATGACATCATTGTGCTAAAACTAACAGAATAAATTTCATTCTCTTTTAACTTAGTAACGAAAGGTAAATTTATAAGTAAACGTTGAAAAAAGAGAAGAAAATTTGAGAAGCTCTTGAGATGTACGAAAAGAGGTTCTCAAGGCATTTGACCTTAATTGATTGCGTTTGGCCCCCATGTGGCGGTGGCGGGCTGGCGGCCGTTTGATTCAATAGGACCAAAAGATTAGTAAATTTCTATGATATGCACTCAGTCACGAGCTAGTCCTGAGATTTGTAGAATCCAATTTGGAAGGGCCTTTTCACTTTTCAGATCTCAACGAAATCAAATCACCCATTGTGCCATTCCATTTTGTACCCAGCTTCAAATATACTCTCTATCACACATTTTAGTGCATTTTGTATTAGCTTTTTTAATATTATATATATAAACATGCACTTGATCACACTTTGAATATATCGACATTAGATTTAAATTTTGTATTGCAAATATAATGGCAATAGAATTTTAAAAGAAATCTTAAGAGCCCTCTCAAGGGAAATTTTTGTACAACCACCATTAGTGGCACTAAGATGTGGTTTGTTTAGCTTAGTTATTTCCTTATGGCTTTCTTAAAGATGAAGATGAATTTGCAGATTCTGATCTTATGTAACTTATTGGTAATAGTTATGGGACTTTACTGTATATAGTGATCCCTATTACAGAACAGAACAGATCATGAATTGCCACCTGAATTTGGAATGGTGCTTTTTGGAGTATACTAATATAGATTCTGCTACAAAACTCCGAATGAATTGAATGGGGGAAATTTCTTTGGAGAATTATTCCTATCGTTTGTGTGAGAATATTGCACTGTTTTATATGCTAAAATTTGCAAACCAAAAGACAAGTACACGGCATCTATATGCTACTGTTTTATGTTGCAACTTTTTGAAAGAAAAAAAACTGAAAGTCATATAGTTTTTTTTTTTGGGTGGAGGGTACATAAAAGGTTAGATAAGAAAGTAAAATTTCTAGAATCGAATTGTGTTTACGAAAAGTCTTTCTCGAAATAGAAAATTGAACAGGATTCAAATGTAGTCGAACTTCTAAAGCTACTTACTACTTAAATCGTCTGTCTGATAAAGGTTTACTAGAATATGAAAGATATATTAATAAAAGTGACCAGCAGATGCCATAGAAAAAGAAATCTGCCCTGGCCATTCAAATAAGATAAAAAAATTCGATGGGAGAATCAATTGAACTATGAAGAGAAAAATGGCAGCACGTTTGTAAATTCTTACACTGGTACGAATATAAAATGACTTAAAAAAAAAAAATAACATGTAAAAATATAAGCATCCTTTAAGAAATAAATAGTTCTGGGAACCAGCAAAATTTTCAAACTAACAATGTACAATATAATAAAAACCAGTCATTTAAAAAGTAAAAATAACAAAAGCTGTGAACTAAACCCCACACCAGTTGGCAACTGAGCTTCCAAGGGTTTGCTTGAGTCAGGGATTCAAACTCTGTCTTAAGCAAATTCTTGAAAAATCTTTGGGGTCAAAGGACGTGCCTCTCACCTCCTCGAATGAGAGATTAGTCTCATTCTTCCTCCAGTGGTGAAGTTCAATGCACCCGTTGTTCCAATGAGAGATAGTCTTCAGGAGAACAAGGTGATCGGAGGAGGTTGAATAGGGATTACCTTCAGGTTATAAAAAAAAAAAAAAAAAAAAAACTTGTAATTTTTTTTGTTTGTATTCCTTTAAGTCATAATATTAGAGAAATACAACATAAAATTATTTATCGAAGGTCTATCACTTACAAGCTTAAGTTTGTATGTCTTGTAAATGATAGACATTCAATGATTTTATATTATATTTCTTTAACACATCATTTCACCTAAGAGTCATTTGAGCTTGAAGTATGGATATTGCATATATTCATTTTTTTATTCTACCTTGTATTAATTTAATTTTAATAAAAAATGAGAACAATGAAGATCCAATTTGTGATCTTGTGATCACGGACCTTCTAAAGCAACTATCTCATCCAATAATTTTGAGTTAAATTAATTCTTTACACATAACTTAGGGATGATCTCAGTTGATTTTTGAATAGTAAAAAGTTGGAAATATCATTTTTAAAACTCTATAATTTAAAAAAAACAGTGTTGTCGAGTATTTGTTATTAATGCCACAAGTCAAAATGTAAAATATTAAAATATTTTAGTTGGCAAAGGAGTCCAGTTTTTAGATGATCAAGAAGTTTGGGCTAAAATGTAGTCATAGTTGCAATACCCTTCCTATCCTGTCCAAGAAGGAAAATTTATAGCAATCCAATTAGTGGAATTGGCCCAAAATTTTCAACTCTGTTCTTTTTTAGGCCACTAGCCCAATCTAGCTTATCTTCAGAATTGAAAAGAAAGTGCTTCGGTTGTGCATGGTTTTGTTCAGGAAGATACTCATGCCAATGACAAAGATGAAAGTGCATTGTTTCCTATTGCCGATGGCATAGATGTTCTAGGAATCTATTGGTAACATATCATCATCACTTATTCACTTTGATAAACAAGTTTAGGATACCTCACTTGTTACCGTCTTATGATAGCCTTATTCCATCTTTATTAAATTTCATATTACATTCAATTATTGAAATCTGAATATATATTTTAATTTCACATTCAGAAATTTGAAATTTCAGATTTAAAACGTGATGAATCAAAGTTATGAGTTCTGTATTGCGTTGTGCTGAATTCTAACAAAGGAAAACGACACAAAAATCTCAATATTGTATGCTGTAGACATGTCAAATGAAGCAGAACTTCAAGCATCTCCAGTTATGGATTCTAACCATAATGAACTGGTCAAGCTCATATCCAGAAGAAGAAAATTTGTCTAGACAAGTCCGAAGGCAGAGATAGCGATGAGTTCAGGAGTGGTTTGAGAGGTACATCAGGAATAATATATCTGACTCCCCAAGTGTTATCTGATCTAGTTTATTTGTATATAGTCTAGTTTGTTTGTATATCCTGCTTATGTTTAAATATTCAAACTTCCATGTTATCTACTGTGACAAGTGCCTCTGATATATATATATATATATATATATATATATATATGCCTATAAAGGGTCCCTTAGTTTCAATAGTTAAGTATCATTTGCATTCCATGAGCTGTGTCTTCCGTGTACTTCACTAATGCTTATCCATTGTGATAATCAAATTACGATTTTCGTGGCTTGCCATTCTGTGCAACATGCCAGATCCAAGCACATTGATTAAAGTAAACTTGCACTAAATGGTTTTAGTGGATCAAATCAAATAGTGTGATTGATTAGTCACTCTAATACTTGGTCATTCACATCATGATGGGCTACAAGTACAAGTAGTACACAACAGACAATAATAAGAACACTTATTTCTTGCGAGGGAATGAGTATGGAAGCCAAATTAATTTGCATAACAAATATGTCCAATCCAATTCGGCGAGAGTGTTTCATCGAATGGTCATCATCATCTTGACGAATTCATCATAGTTAACTTGACCATCACCATCCAAATCTGCTTCTTTAATCATCTGCTCCACCTCCTCATCGGTTAGTTTTTCACCTAGATTGATCATTACGTGTCTCAACTGCATAACGCATAAAGAAATATTTTACTATTATATATGAGCACCTATGTGTGTATATATACAGTTGTACACGTATAGAGAGAGAGAGAAAGAGAAATGTAAGATTCTCTACAGCACTCAAATGTCAAACCCCAATACATTTTCTAATCAAAACAGCTAATATTCATTGCATGCGGAAACGCGCACGGTGTGGTGTCCTAGATGAGTAGATGTGCATATAAAATAACAAATTCACAAATGAATATAAAAATTGCAAAATCTTGCATTTATAAGTAATAGTCAAAACTAATTATGAAAAACTCTGACAAAAATTATTTAAGGTAAAAAACAAAAAAAAACAACAAAAAAGGCAAAATCTCTGGCTCTTTAGGAGTTGTAAACGAATTTCCAACATCTTGGCCCTACCTGCTGTATTCATGTTTGCTGAACTTCTCACTTTATCAAATTTGTCAAAAAATATCATATGGGGTACTATACTAATGAATATTTGAAAGGACGTTGCTATATATAAAAAAGAAAAAAAAAATTACTTACCAAAAAGAAAAATAGGAAGGAATAAAATGTATACCTCACTGGCTGATATATAACCATTTTGATCTTTGTCAAAAACCTTGAAAGCCTCTTTGAGCTCCTCCTCTGCATCAGTGTCCTAAATGAAAAAGAGCACCGAACTGAACTTAGCCTTTGGTTATTGTATATTAGAAGGTACACACACATTAAGCATTCACATACGCAAATTTTAACAAAGAAAGGAAAAGAAGGAACATAATTTACTTTCATTTTCTTGGCCATCAAGTTCAAGAACTCATCAAATTCGATGGTTCCATTGCCATCTGCATCGACCTCGCTTATCATATCTTGAAGCTCTTCTTCAGTGGGGTTCTGATCCAATGACCGAATGACAGTGGCCAGTTCTTCCACAGTAATGCAACCTGTCAAAAGATTCAAGAAGATGCACACAGTTTATAAACAACCGCCATATTCATATATATGATATTGATGAAAATTCTGTCAATCCACAGAAGATTTCAACTGAACAATAGATACCCATTTTTGTAAAAATTATTGTTACTGCAAAAAGGAGAAAGCTTGCTCACCATCTCCATCTTTGTCAAACAAGCCAAAGGACTCTTTGAAGTCCAAAATCTGTTCTTCACTCAGTACATCTGTCATGGTGTATTTGTCTTTCAAACTTAAACCAGAAAAGAGATAGAGACACAAGAGGAAAGAAGAGAGAAAGAGAGGGAGAGAGAATGTAATGTGTTTGAGTATAGCGCAAGCTTAGCTGGGCTATATGTAGAGCTTCAATGAGGCTAGTCTAGCAAAAAAAAAAAAATAGAATTTTAATTTAATTAGTCAAATTAAGTTTAAGAATTAAGACTATTTTTTGGTGTGATACTTGTGGCTTTATTATGGGAAAAAGAATCACACTATTGTATTCTTTGAGCGTGTGTTTAGTACAAGTATTTCAAAAGGATTACTGGTAAATCTTCTTTGCTAAACTCGATTATCATGTTTGGTAGAAGGAACAAAAATCAGTTCCCAGATATTCAAGGATTACGGTAATTTGATTTATAAAGAAAAATTACTATTCAAATTACCAAAAATAATATGGTAATTCAGAATACTAAGTAAAGGGAAAGCACAACAATATTTTTTGAGACAAAAATATTCCAACACACATAAAAATCTAGACTCAATCTATCAATTACAAAAGTAAAAATAGTTTGGGGTTATTTTTGTAAAATAACCTCATATTTCAAGTCATATTTCGTTCTAAACTAAACATGGAATCAGTAATATATATCCAATATTCTCGGTAATATTTTTGCGAACCAAACACATTTTTCGTAAAATTTCAAGTAAACTCAATTTCTATTGTATTCCAATTAATCATGATTCTCGGATACTCAAAAATTTCTCTTGTACCAAACATACGTTGATCTTGATGAAGTAGTATATATGGTGTAGTAGTGAGGCATGATGATTTAAATGGGACATGTGTTTTTTTTTTTTTTTAATATTTGGTCAAATATATTTGAATAATATAATGGAGTGAAAATCTTGACAGCTTGAATGGTTTGATGTTAGGGGGACAAAACAAAAAGGTATTAATTTAAACTTGAAAGGGTAAGAGAGAAAAGGGTATGGAGTATGGAGTATGGGGAGGTGTGTGTTTGCACCAATTTCCACATCACACCCAAAGACCACGCTAGCCAGACATAGAACTAGGAATGCAGTTTCTTTTGTGCTCCTTCTGCTATGTGTAATGTGTGCAAATCACACGTCAACGCGGTTATGTACGCGTTTGTGTTGGAACCTTTTTTTTCCAAAGAAGAATGGGATGTGCGTGTGGAGAATGTGTTACCATTGGAAGGGGTCGTCTCAAGAGTCAAAAAAACTTTCTTTGTTTTGCTTTTTGTTTTAAATCCACCCTTTCTCTGTTTTTGAGCATGTCATTTCTAAATTTCAAAGATGGGTGAGTTTGTAAAATGTTCCATTCTTTCTTACTCTTGGACCTAGCCTAAGATATTCATTAACACGGCTTGTGAATGATAGTCATCTTTTCATATTCATTTTTTATTCTCATGTATTATTTAACATGATCATATTATATTATATGAGAGGATCCTGATCATATAATGATGAATCAATGACAATAATGATAAAGAATAAGAGATACTTTGTAATATATATTTTAAAACAAATTTATATTAATATAAATATATCAACATATTATATAAATGTATTAATTCAAGTCATAAAAATTTATTATATATTACTAATTATTGAAATAATTATACAATTTAAAAATATTTTATAATACTAAATTAAATTGAGAAAACTCAAAATATCATAGATCCAATTTAATTTTCAGAACGTAAACCTACTCGGCAAGTGTCTCTCTTTAAATTAGATGGAAAAGATCATTAACAAATCTAACACATAATTATTTTATTTTATTTTTTAAAAGGATCTAATGGAGTGGTGGCCGTACCTTACACGTACAAGCCTATCTATTGTATCATTTTATTTTGCCAGTTGGCCCTTTGCACTGTTGTGGTCATGCAAATTAATTATTGATTCAATATCACATGATAATATATAATTGGATTTATTGTCCACAATATTTCAAATTCTATACAAATACAACTCTATATTGTTTCCATTTTCCCTTCTTCGCAAATGGTATGTTTATGAAATGCAGATATAATATCCAAAAAGCAAAAAAAAAATAGCCTCTCTCTCTCTCTAAAAGATTAGAAACCATCAATATGTTCTAGTAAATAGCAATGTTAGCATTCACGCTAAGATTTATCCAAAGATCACCTCTAGTGAAATATAATTAGGTAATCGTTGATGAAAAAGAGTGACTAGATTTTCTTAAATACTTAGATTATTATGAAGCTTACAAAGGTATAAAAAATGAATTGAAATGTATGCAAGGCAAATAGTACAAATTTATTTAAAAAAATATATAATTAAATTGATATATTCTGATAATGGTTTTGCACTAGTAAGGATATGAGCAAAAGTATTAGTACCAATGAGTGTCTGTGACTAAAAATAAATTTGCAAATGAAGGAATTGTCTAATAGTTCAAAAGATATGGGACATTGGTAGAGTAAATTTTAAGATTAGATATATATGTGTAGATTTCACAAACATCAACAAATGCCTTAGGAATTTAATTTCATATTGATTTTATATTGACAAAAAAACAAGTTGCACGCATGAAATTAGCTAATAGAACAGCAAGCTTGGTACATTCATTGGATAGGAATATAATTATGTTTCCCTAGACACAATAACTATAGTTTACGGCGATGAAGATAAGATATTAACAGTTGAAGAAAATGAATATATATATATATATATATATATATATATATATATATATATATATGGGATTCAGATTCAATAATAATGTAATGACCATTAGCAATTCGGAAGTTACACCTGTATGATGAGGGGCTTAGATGACTATCATGTAATAGCTGGACAATGGCTGTGATATATAAATAATTAGTCTTTCCAGAAACTCGGAGATCAAATCCTTTAAAAATAAGGCAATGAATTTATAATTTTTTGTTTTTTGTTTAATGAAATTTGGTTTAATCCAATTTGAGTACTGTACTGAACTCAAACTCGAGACCTCTCCTAAAAAGAAATTGAACTAATAATTGTTAGTTAATGAATTTATAATTCAATCATGAATTAATTAATTATCACATAAATTGCTAGAATCAATAATAATAACAATTTTTTCATTGCTAAAGAGAAAAGTAAAACCAAATTTGTCCAAAATAATGATTGAAATCAAACCCCAAATGGAATCCAATCCTTTTATTTTCAGCTTCATAGTTTAGTCACATAAAGATTTTATCATAAAATTTTCAAGTTTCTTTACTATGCCATCTCTTTTCTTAATATTTCTTTTATACACCTTTCAAACCAAACAACTGATAATTAAATCCTCTGGTTCCATTCATTTCTCCTCCATTCTGTTTCATCATCTTCCAAACTCTTAATAAACAGATATAAAAAAAACAAAAAAACCATTGATCCCAGGTTTGATTCTTTACCAGGTCTACAAAAAAAAAAAAAAAAAAAAAAGGCCAAAAATTAATAGCAATTATAATAAAAGTTCGTTTTTCATTTTTATATTATATTATAGGACTATTGACAAGGGGTTGGTAATTATCATCTGCGCAATTAAGCTGTTACCTGAAACATAAAAACTACATATTTGCTGTAATTATCATCTACACAAGGAATCATTCCATGAAAATTTGCCAATAACAATATTGTTTCAAAACTAAAATTTTCTAGGCCAATCTGAGATTAAGAAAAGGGGGGGAGGGGGTTTAAAAAATGTAAAACTGTGGCAATTAGCATTGATCATCAGAGAATCCAACATCTGCAGCCTTTGGAATCTTGGGGGCCTTCAAACCATCGATCCCACAAAGGATTTAAGGGACCAATTGTCCTGTCAAACAAGGAAAATGTATCTTTTGTTAGAAAAATATATAAAAGATAACATGTGGGTGCAACATAGATATAGGAAGTTCTGAGAAGAGATTTTACAATGGTAGTAACGGATCAGGTCTTGTTTCCACATTACTGAACATTCTAGCAAAACAAACACGGGATGGAAATTAAAAGTTAGACTAACATTGTGATTATGCATGATAGAATCACTTTTTGCTATTAAGCTTACTCTTTGCACGATGTAGATGCTTTCTCCATCCTTTCAAGTTGTCCCAGCTCTTCCTGCATTTTTTTTATTAGTGATTATTAAAACACTTTGTAACACAAGTTTGAAAACAAGAACTAAGCATGTCATTGACAAGAGAGGCTAAAAACCACAATCAGCCTCCCCATGAAAAGCTTATCAAATGGCTGCCTAGATATCCCATATTTTTTCATTATAAAAGTCAAGAGTTTGAAAATCACCATAAAAAGAGCCAGCAAACAACGGTAACACAAACAGTACAAAAAGAATAAGAAATTTAATCCTAAAGAATAGTGAAAATATGACCATAATAATAGTGAACCAAAAAAGTGTGCAGTAAAGAGATTCCATGTACTGAGAATTTTCATATTCAGTCTCCCTAAAGTTTAAGAAACAGGCAGAAAATAACAAACTTAATAACAAGCTTGTTATTAAGAATCATAGAATACTCTTAATAACAAGCTTCTGCCAAATGCTGGGGACATATAATGGAACAGGAAGCAGTTTCTCTTGCATGTCCAAAGAATTTTAAATACTCCTAGCCACTTCAAAGCGATCTCCACAGTCAGCCACTTTTATTAAGGATGTTCTGAAAGCAATACAAAAGTCAACCTATATATCTGAGATATTAATGATTGCTTCTATCCTCAAAGCATGAAATGAGCCTCATGATGGATATGGAATAATCTCAACTAGGTAAGGACTTGATAGCATATTTTCGAACATGAAAATGTTGTCAGACAAGATAATAATATTTGAGACTGTTGTTAACTAAAATTAACCAGTGGCCCCCTTATCAACTTTACTCAGCTGAAAAATCACCAAATGAGCCAAAGGAGGGGGCCACTGAAAGATCTTAGCAAAATTGTCTTGCTCCTTGTGTCCATTGATGTTGAAGAAGAAAACTGCACTGGGGATTTGCTAGTTCTCTGACCATTCAATGGTGATTGCTTAATTGCATATCCTTAACTGAGAAGCACAAGAGCTGAAAAAGGTGTTGGCAGAGGTCTATTCAGTTTGTCAAACACCCAATCTGATGTTTCTAGATTTCTACACACATAAATTTGAAGGTTTTAGGTTGGTAAGGATAAATGAAGGCAAGTAGTCTAATTTTAGTTTGATTTAGTCAAGATCTAAATCAACTTCTTACAGCATTAGCTCCATTTCCCAATTCAATAAAGATTACCTTATTGTAAATTTGCAAGTGATCTAAAATGTCCAAGTTTGGTTTCTAATTGGTCACAGAATTTAGAATTCATGATCTTAACCATCACCTGCTTCCTTAAAATTTAGAATTCTAATTGCAAGGACTTTGACAAATCATATTCCCTCTGTAGTCTATCCCATAATGTGTTGCTTCAGGACACAATTTAAATATTGCTAGTTGAGAAATGGAATCTCAATCATTTACAAAACGAAGTTAAAACGTTTGAGTTGTTGAAACATATAATTGTACAAAAAGAATCAAAACGGGGAAGTATAAAATTACTGATAGATAAGACCTAGATGCAAACTGTGAGACTTATATTGGAATGCATGGAGTACCTATTTCATGAAACTATTACCCCCAGTTCCAGTAAACCCTCTTCAGAAAATAACCTCATAGAAGAATGTACATTCATTATATATTAAGCCAACTATGTCAATGGCAATTATATCTGCATTAACCAAGATTAGCCGAATTTCTCCAACTTGTTTGTTAGTAGTGTTGACCATGAAAATATTATAAAACCCTAAAACACTCGCACACTCCCCGTTTGTGCCCCAACTTTATCCCATAAACGAAAAATACCAAGGTTGATGTGTGTCTAGACAGTTATCAGTTATGGTGACCTTCATTAAGTTATTAAGAACCCGAAAGTTAAATAAGAATACATACAAAAAGACTTCTGTCTCTCTCCCTCACTGCATAGTTAACTCTTCAAATAAGTATAATGCAACTACTGAGTCTCAGCAAATCCCTCCCTCCAATAAAATTCAAAAGTCAATGTGCATATCCATCTTTGCATAACTATGGTAATATGTTTTTTTTTTTCAAATTCTAAATCCATTTTAAATAAGGGATTAGTGTTTCTCATGCTGTAAGAGATAATTTTATCTCATACACACACATAAAGGTATGTGAGGGTCATGTGAAGAGAAAAGAGAGGGAAAAAAAAATATGGGTCCCACATACTTTTATATGTGTATAGAAGATAAAATTATCTCGTACAACATGGGAAATACTAATCCTTTTAAATAAAGCTGCCACTAGTAAAAAAAAAATGATAAAATAAATTGTCAATTTACAGTCATCTCTGAAAATATATGCCCCTTAATGCAAATAAATGTGATTCCCTATGAAACTAAAAGGTGAACTTGTCCAAACCGGAAGTCTCAACTCTTAACTGTAACAAGTAAGCAAAAATGAAAATTGAAGTAAAAATTGGAACATATGTTTAGTTATATCATTTAAATCATCAAGCTTCTATTGCTGTAATGACAAATTGACAAGACATTTAGACAGATTAATCTGCAAATCATCAATCATAGTAAAATGGAGCTTCCTAGGTGAGGACTCATGAACTGTATTAGATGGATCCTCAGATGAAATGTTCATACGTCATTCTGTTGATTGAGCATAATTGATAACCCAAAATGCTGTTAACATAACTGAGTAAAAAATTCAGGTACCAAAACGTTATTATTACCAGAAAAATATTCATTGGGAAAAAGAAAAAAGACCAAACTACCATTTTAGTCCTCCAAAGATACACTTAAGACATCAATTTGGTCTTCCAAAGATTTGCAACATCAAATTAGTCATCCATAGATGTAAAGTGAAATCAAAATGGTCCTTCGACCAATCTCTGTGTGTCATTAACTTGAACCATTTTGATGTAACTTCAAATATTTGGAGGACTAATTTGATGTCACAAATCTTTGGAGGACATAATTGATGCACGAAGCTTTGGAGGACCAAAATTGTAGTTTAGTAAAAAAAAAATTACTAAATAGCATGCATTTAATAAAACATGCCCTTTTTTAAATATCAGGAGGCCACCCCATACTTTAGGCTTATGGACCACAATAACATGTACCTTGCCTTTGCTCATTATATTCAAAAAATCCAGCTGACAGAAGAATACCTCAGCAATCAACTAAATAAAAAGACTGAATTGTTATCAATTTCAGTAATTTTACAGATGGCATTTGTTTCTGACAATAACAACACAACAACGAAGAAAAGTTAAAAACTTTCCCAACCCATTTTGCCATTTCTCGTTAACACATGGAAGAACAAAAAGTAACCCATCAAAAAGAAAAAGCCAATAAAAAAACGACACAGAGAGAGAACAAACAAAAAGAAAAACACCCTTCACCAATGAACAAAACTCCAAAACATTATGACGATGATGATGAAGTACCTACCTCTAAGAACCTTGTTTCTTGTTCCAACCGTTTCAGTTCTGCATGTATCCTATGCTTTCCCCTAGCATCTGCAGAAGACAGAGATTGAACCCGGTGGGTCATGGGTCCCGCGGAGTCGGGCACACCCGATTCCATCTTCTGAGGCTGAGGTTGGGACAATGGAAAATCCCTAGCTCTTGCACACGATTGACGAACCACAAAGCCTATGAAACAGAGGTGATCGAGTGCAAAGACTCAATTTTTGAGGTAAACGAGGACGACCCAGAAATCTTCATGGACCCCATCAAGTGTTGACCATGAAAGCAGGGTGGGTTCTACAAACAACAGAGGAGGATCTAAGGTGTACTTAAAAACACAGAGATAGAGACAAGTCACAAGTGGGTTTGGTGAATAATATGAAGGAGTTGTTTCAAGTTTGAAGCATTCACAGTGGAACGGAACATGAGTTGGAAAAAGGAACTTGAAATGTTTTGTGTTGGAAAAAAAGCTGGTTTTCTTTTGAGTTTCTCATTTTACTTTTTTGGTGTCCTTTTTTTCTCTCTCTCTCTCTCTCTCTTAATGATTCTTTTTCTCTCTCTTACTTTTCAACTTAGAGACTTTGCTGGAGCAGTCTCGCGGGGTAACAGTGTTTTCACTTATTATAAGGTTGCCACTCCCGTTTTTTTTTTAGCTGGCTTTTGGATTGTCACCTCAAAATTTATAACAATTAGTGCTTTAATTGACAATTAAGGCTAAAATTTACCTGAATTAAGGTATATCACTTAATAGATGATGCAAAGGGTTGTTCTATTTTCACTCTGCTTGTAAACATAAACAAAGAAACAATTACCGTTGTTTTTCAATTTCTTGGAATTTGCACGAGTTGCAGGTGTCATGCTGGACTTGATTTTAGGGGGAGAAATTTATTTATTTTTCAGATAATCATGATTTTCAAAAGTATAATGGAAAATTAATGTTTTCAATAATGTTATAAAACAGTTGTTCGAGGACAAAATATTTTCAAAAATATTGAATTAATTTTTCTAATGTTATGTTTAGTTAATTGTAAAATATGAGGAATGTTATACTTACAACCTCTTAAAATCTATTTTTTTTCATCGTTGATTTCGTTAGTCCAACGGTTATAATTTATCGGGTCGTATTTATTATTAATTATTAATTTTCAATAAATTACAACTGTTGAATTGATGGTAATCAACAGTAAAAAAAATTAAGTTGTAACAGGTTGTAAAACTTTTAGGCGACGTTTGGTATGAGATTTTTTTTTTTTACAGAGAAAAAAGATTGTTGGGAATTTAGTAGGAAATTTTTTATTCCGGGTAAGTTATGAAAAAGTGTTTGGTTGGTCAAAATTTTATCGGAAAAGTTGAGTTATTTTACTTATGTTTGGTTGATAGTAAAATATTGATGAGAATGTGAATTGAAATTATCAAAATATCTAAGATCATGGGCAATCTCTTTACACATGATGTCATATATTACAAGGGTATTTTTGACTCAATATATTACATTCAAAATCCAAGACCATGGCAAAAAAAATAAACCAAAGATTAAGTGGGATAATATTTTGTCTTTGTGTAGTTGAAAAAGAAAATACTGGGGAAAAAAATTTGCTAGCATTTTGTCAAAATACTCGTACCAAACATGGCAAATAAATATTCTCCATCCTACTTTCCCATCATTCCATACCAAATCTCCATACCACATACCCCTTTAGGTTGTAAGTATAATGTTCATCGTAAAATATTACTAGAAACAATTTAAATTTTCCTTTTTTCGAAATTCAAGAATACCACCCTTGTGTGGTATTGTTGGATGATATTTTTGGTTAAATTTTTCTCACAAAATAAAATTCGGAAAAAATCACATTCTCACAAAAATTTTCAAAAATCCACTACTAAACATGGGCAACTTAAATTACAACATTCAGTTTCCTAGGAATCTAAACAAAAACTCTCTACGAAACATCCCCGTAGAATTTTGAGAACAGATAAAAATTGCAAACATTATACATTGGCAAAATTTTAGGACTTAAATTTTTTTGTGATAAGTATATCCTACCCCTACTATATATATATATATGGAAAAACATTTCTCAAGCTACTTGAGATAAGTTTATTTCCGGCCATCCCAAAACTACGCCGTTTTGATTATTTATTTCTTTATATTTATTGATTCACCTTTAAATGGTTATGATTCTCTTTTTCTCTCTCTTCCTTTATCACCATTTATCCATCTTTGTACGGTTATGATTTAGTAGCCGGAGATAAAGTTATCTCCGACAGCTTAAGAAATGTTTAAGCCTATATATATATATATATATATATATATATATATATATAAGCCCAAAGGTGAATCAATTAATATAAGGAAATAAATAAACAATACGACATAATTTTGGGGTGGCCGGAGATAACATTGTCTCAAGCAGCTTGAGAAATGTTTTTCCCTATATGGGCTTATCATTTCTCAAGTTATGTTGAGATGATTTTATCTCCAACTACTAAAGGATCAATGGTGATAAAGGAAGAGAGAGAAAAAAGGAATCATAATCATTCAAAGGTGAATCAATTAATATAAGGAAATAAATAAACAAAACGACGTAGTTTTGGAGTGGCCGGAGATAAACTTAACTCGAGTTGTCGGAGAAATATTTTTTCATATATATATATATGTGTGTGTGGGGGGGGAAAGGATATTGTATCAACCAATCAGTGTTACTATCAATCAATTTCATCATTAGATCGATTATGTTGATCCAACGGTTATATTTACTTTCACATTTGTATGATTATGATTTTCCATATTTAATGCTTCCACATTAAATATGGAGAATCATAACCATACAAAGATGGAAATAAATATAACCCTTGTATCAACATAATCGATCTAACGATGAAATCGATTGGTAGTAACCTTAATTGATTGTTACAATATCCTACCCTATATATATATATATATATATATATATATATATATATATATATATATATATATATATGGACATGTTTTTTTTACACCAGGGTAAAACAAGTCTAACACCACATCTCAACTGTTGATGGACGGAAATTATCGGCTCATATTTATAATGTAATTAATGATTAATTAATATTAATTAATTCATATGACTTCTTGGGTCATGATCATTTTACACTTGTGTAAGTTACACTCTCAATCTTGTCTGTTGATCTCACTTATATCTAAAGGCTTCAACTTTTTAGTAATGTGAGTCATTGGATACAATGGATCAATGGTCAAAATTGAGTGTAAGACTTCTAACTCTTACACCGGTGTAAGAATATCTTGCCCTATATATATACATATATATATATATATATATAATATCAGACTCATTTTACATCGGTATAACACTACTAAGTCTTACATCTTATCTCAACCGTTGATTTTCGTGCATCCAACGGTTATAATTCAAGAAGTCATATGAATTAATTAATATTAATTAATCATTAATTACATTATAAATATGAGCCGATAATTTCCGTCCATCAACAGTTGAGATGTGGTGTTAGACTTGTTTTACCCTGGTGTAAAAAAAACATGTCCATATATATATATATATATATATATATATATATATATATGGATCTAATGCTTAGTTGTTTTACCTTGACAATCTGTTCTTTATTTACGTTAAAGTCTTAATCTAATGCTCAGTTGATAAAAGTTAATTTACATCTATCTCTGTATTACTATGGATCCAAATGATGGTGATGATATATGGGAAATACATCTATTTTATTATCATGTTTAAATCTTTCTCTTCTAAGTTCTCTTTCAAATCATCTCAGCCATCTTCTTCTTCTATCCATAAAGATCAAGTTAAAAATCAAACAAAAAATATTTTTAAAGAAGAAATCTCCTTTGAAGATATCAATCAAGATCTGGATAACTAGAAAATTCCCAAAATTCCAAGTAATGAACTGTACAAACTCAAAGGAAACTTCTTTCGAAAATCTGACTATATCATCAGAACAGTTGAAAGAAATATCCCTTTAAATAATGAATTTGAAGAATTTCAAATATATATATATATATATATATATATATATATATAGGGATAGGATCAACTTACACCGGTGTAAGAATAAAAAATATTACACCAGATCTTAATCGTTGATTTTTGTGCATCTAACGGTTGAGATTTATTGAGAATTAAAAATTAATTAATGAGTGAGACCTAATAAATCTTAACCGTTAGATATAGAAAATCAATGGTTAAGATTTGGTGTAAGATTTATTATTCTTACGCCAGTGTAACTTACACTGGTGTAAAATAATCTTGACATATATATATATATAAAGAGGAAAAAGTATTTGTCATTTTAAATGACATAAAATTATGTCATTTTAGGAGAGAGATAGACACAAATTAAATTTTTTATTTAAAATTTAAATTAAAAAAAAATCATCTACTTTCTCTTCCATAATTTTTATTTTTTGTGTCTATTTCTTTCTAGCTTATGTCATTTAAATCCACAAAGATGAAACTCATATAAAGAATAAAAGAAACCTTAAATGTTTGTATTCTTGTTCCATTCAATTCAATTCCATCCCAGTTTAGCGAAAAAACAAAACAAGATTGAAAATTCCGAGTTGGGGTATTTCAGTTCACCCCTTTTCCAACTAACCAATCAACTCCGATTCAGCTAAGAAAATACTTTTCAAGGTTCGATCGTTTTCGTTGTTCATGCTTTTTTCACATTTTATTTTATCGATCTGCAAGCTTGACTTTGATCCAACGCAAGTTCGTTGCTTTTTTGGTTTACAATCAGATTTTCAGATACCCATTTAGTTGGTAATTGATGGGTTTGGTTCGATAATTGTGCAGGTGAATAATTAAGAGGTAGATAGAGAGGATGGGGGCAATGATATCGCGGTTCTGGTTCATGTTATTCCCTGCTAAGGAGTATAAGATTGTGGTTGTTGGGTTGGATAACGCTGGAAAGACAACCACCCTTTATAAATTGCATCTCGGTGAGGTTGTCACTACCAACCCTACTGTTGGTAGCAACGTCGAAGAGCTTGTCTACAAGAATATACGATTCGAGGTCCCTCCTTCACTTCTCACTTTACTTTATTTATTTATTTATTTATTCTGCTATAAATATCATGATATGATTTTGCTTCAAGGGTTTTATGTCATCTTCAATTTTGCTGAATATATATGAGTCTGAGGTGAGGATTTGTCTCTTCTCAGTCTTTCATTGCCATTGGTCTGATCAAAGCTATATATCCCGGAAAGCACCCTCCCTTCCCTTTATTAGTAAATAATTGGCCACAAGCAGTTTGTTTTATAAGCACTCAAATTTAATTCTTTTAGAGTATCCGAACATACAGAAAATAGCCTTTGGACTTTTACCATTACGTCTGTTAGATTTCCATAAAATTTGTGTTTCGAAGGGTACTTGGACATGACACATCTTTGTCCTGGACATTGACTACCCTTTATTCTCTACAACTCCAATCACTCTTTTGGTATTCAATGCTGTTGAATGGTATGTGTTTCTGTATGAACACGGGATGATCACATTAATCTACCTTTTGCTTTGTCTTAGGTTTTGGCTAGGACAGGTATATTTAACCTTTCTTTAAGTCCTTTGCTTGCTAATTATTTTTATTTTTTTTCTCCTGGAGAAGGGGGTGATTGTGGTTTTCATAACAATCCACACTTATGTTTTTAATCTACATTTGGTATGGAATATTTGCAAGCTTTGCTATTGTGCTGGATGAGAGCTATTACTCACTACTCTTTGTCATTCATTTCAGGTCTGGGATCTTGGCGGACAAGAAAGACTGCGGACATCATGGGCAACATATTACCGAGGAACTCATGCTGTAATTGCGGTGATAGACAGCAGTGATAGAGCCAGGATCTCTATTATGAAGGATGAACTTTTCAGGTTGTTGGGGCATGAAGAATTACAACATTCTGTCATTCTTGTCTTTGCTAATAAACAAGATATCAAGGATGCTATGACTCCTGCTGAGATCACCGATGCACTATCCCTTCACAGCATCAAGGATCATGATTGGCATATACAAGCTTGCTGTGCCCTCTCAGGAGAAGGGTTGTATGATGGTCTTGGATGGATTGCCCAGCGAGTAACCGGCAAAGCACCAACATGATTTTGGGTTAATGGAAACTTACGACGAGATTCATTTTCAATGTATTGAACTTATATGACGAGTGACAAAAATCTATGTATCATTTATACTTCAAAGAAGAGTCAAGCCAAGCTGGTTTTTGATTTGCTGTGAAGAAAAATATTATTCGATAACCGTTTAAGACACACATTTCCCCAAATTGCTATAAAAAGAAACCCCTGCAACCAATCCAGGGCTTGGTCAGAAATGAATTCACAAAATCATCAAGTATTGGATATAAAATCCCAAGAACTTGTTAGCTTGGTGAGAAATGAATTCACGAAATCATCAATCTTTCAATTCTGCAGTCCATTAAGTGTACTTGTACAAAAGAAGGAAGCTTGTAAATACCTGCATCAAATTGTTTTTTTGGTGGATCTCCATACTGCCTAGTCAACATGTTGAAGAGACAAACGCTGAAAATAGATAATGATAGCGATCCATAAGTGGCACCGGCAGTATTGAGATCAAGAATTTGCAAGTTTGTAAGGGTTCCAAGATGGTGAGGAACCCTTCTACTGAATTGGCTGTTAGAGAGATTGAGATAAATGTTTCACGGAACCCAAGAAGGAAGGGATTCTAGTCCCTTGAAAAGTGTTTCCCCTTAAGTCTAAATAATTCAAGAACTTAATTCCTGCAAAGATGGATCAACAGCTTGAGAAAATCGCTGTGAAAGTTGACAACATGGTCAGCATCACAGCTCACTCCTCTCCATGTGCATCAAGCTTCACCTTGCCAAGAAGAAAACATGTGTGGTGAAAAGCATGGGCTATATTTGAGGCTACTTTTGAACTTCAAATATCTTGTGTGCAACCAAGGGCTATATTTCCACAACAGCAGAGTTTTGAAAGTTCAAGGAGAAAGAAAAACATGAAAATGAAGACAACTGTATATGGTACTTGGTTGCAAGCTCCCGTTCTAGTAGAAGGGATTTGAAAAGCATGCAAGAGGCTGGTAGTTCTAGGAGACAGGAGATTGATAAATAATTCTGCCATTTTTTTATGTGCTCTAGGAATACTCTTGTAATGCAGTAATATGGGAAGTAGTTCTTGCTTGACTGGATGAAATATGTTTCCAAGAAAAGATCACACAAGCAAGGTCAATGCCAAAATTGATCCCAATGGTGCAAAGACTTGGGATTTTATTTTTACCCCATCAACATGTATATCACACATAAATTGTTAAGTATCAAATTTTTGCATTAAAAAAAAAAAAACAGTGCTTCTGTGTTTTCTTCTTTTAAACTCACTCTGAAGCTAAGTTAATAAATTGTTCATGATTCCGTGATTCTATCAAGTTAGATTTTAGGACCCTTATCATTTTATAGACCATCACTTTTTATTTTATTTTTTTATTTTATTTCTAGGTAATAATGTTATGAGGTTCTTCGGGACATACACTCTTAATTCCGAACAACGTTTGGTAGGAAGTTACCTTCATAAGCATAGCGTGTGGGGCAATCAAGTCAGCAAATGCTTATAGAGATTGCATTAAATTTACAATAGGCTAATCTGCAAGGTCCAGAAGACCAGAACTGCAAGTTTGTAAATGAGTTTAGCTAATTAATTATGATGGTGATCCATAATTATTAACTCTGGAAACTAGGAGTATCTATCTGATAAAGAAATGGAAATACTTAACAAGATAAATCTGGATGAGCAAAAGACTGTCGTCTTCTTTCAGCAGAAAATGGACTCTGCCACTAGTTTGCTCGGTTCTGCATATTTTCTTTATAGAAATTAAAGTCCACTTTAATTTATAATACCAAATTTTTAGTTAAACTAAGACAACATACTCGAGTTGTTCGCTTTAAATATGATAGTGCTTTTAAGTCAAGGAGAAATTCAAATGTGAGTGAGTGAAGTTTCACATTGGTTAAGAATAGATTAATTGAATATCATATAAGTGAAAGAATCCATACATCTAATACTTTAAGATTTTGAGTTTGATTACAGTGATAAGAGTATTTGAAGATATGGAAAGCCAAAGTCTTGACCAGTGTAGCCAAGCCTTAATAGAAGAACCAATGTCTTGATGAGAAACCAATCATTGATGAATCCAATTAGTACTTTTGGAAAAAAGTGAAAGTAGAAGTAAATAAAATATTTTGATAATAAATAATGTTTCTAATATTTCATTTTAAAGGAGAAATACTTTCTTGTGTTATTGAAGAAAATATTTTTCGTGTCACTCATACATCGACTTACGTGCTTTGTTTTTTCTTTTTCTTTTTTAACTTTTTAATGGTTTGATCCATGTGAAACATGTGTGTGAAGGAAAATTTCTCCTCTCATGTGTGAAAAGAGAAAAACAAAGCCCCATTTTAAATTACTTATTTAGTCATTACTCAGTCTTTGTTGTCTTATCCGCGGATCAAAGAGCAAAAGCAAGATATAGCATATTATATACGGGGAAGGATCTATTTACAATTTTTTTTTACAAATTACACTAAGTATGACAAGTCATACACTCTTGATTGAAATATGACCGGTCAGACATAGTATAGTTTGTATACAAAAAGTTTGTAAAATAACTTTCTCCATTATATACATATCAAACTCGGCATATAAACTAAACAACTGAAGCTAATGGTTTTGAAGCAAGAATGTCATCCTGAATGAAATCTTCCCTAATATGTTGGCAAAATGGAAAGGTACAAGAAAGAATCATATGTTACCATCACATACAGTTATGTTAGAGATGAACAGTTCCAAAATTTTACCATCATATCCTACCCCAATTCGTTCTCCAATATTAGATGGGCATGCCCTTAGGAACAATTTGGTCCTTGATCCACATGTAAATTGGAACTAGGACATAGTAAGTGGCTGCAATTGCACCAAGAATGAACCGCGAAAGAAACAACAATGGATTTACTGGCTCCTTTACATCCTCTACCTTAGGACCAAGCTGCATAAAGACATGCATAACGACACATCAAAATTGCACTACAAGAAAAAGCAAGGAAATTAAGATTCCAAACAGATTAGTATACTTCTTGGTTAACATTGACTTACAATGTTCATTATGTATAACATCTTAGAGTGTATTTGATGATTCAAGAAGTGATGATGGATGCTAAAGATTGCTGAATATGAACATGAAGCTACTAAGGGATAATTTCGTACATTGGCCTCACAAAGAAAATGTATCTGGCTACAAGAATTTCAAGAGCTACATCATTAGCCACCTATAAGTAGAATATTCACGATATAGGTTGCTTGCTGAACTTTGGCTGCATAATACTCATTGAGACAATCAAATTGACTCCCTTGTTCATTAATATTCAGAACTAGGATTGCCTTCTAAGTTAATTGTCCTTTTCTATTCATCCAAATTTAGACACAATTTCTTCCCTTTCAATTGTTGCTTCAACAAGAGAATATAGAAGGCAGTGCAAAAGCAACAGTGATGCACGATAAAAGTTTAACATAAAAGCACAACCCTTGGTCATGGTTGACTTCACACTTGAATATATGATACATGCATACTCATCACTTCAGACTAAAATGGCTTCGTATGACTCGGCAGTGTTTCTTTTTCAGAAAATCTTTTGGTTACTTTGCTCCATACACAAAATAACAACATTCAAAAATCCAATCCAACTAAAAGTAAGCTTTGTGCTTTTTAAGGAAAAAGCAAGCAACTAAGTCTTCTCATTTCCCCCTCAAGACTTTTTCAACTTCTGAACAAACATATCTGAACTGTGAAAAGAAGTTCAGATACTACACTCTAAACATTCATTGCAAAAGCTGTACAAGATAATTATTTCTCTGTTAGTACATATTAAAAATCACCCCATATCAATATGCCAAATGTTAATCCTACTCTGCAGCACAATATGATCAAAAGTTCACAACAAGGGTCTGAGCATGGTAATTATGTTCATGTATTTGAACAAAAAAATATGAAGGCTTCCGGGAGGACTAATAAAAGGGTAAACTCTGGTGTACAAGGATTTCAGACTAGCGAGTGTAGGGGCGAGCGTTAATTGTTCGCAGCCTTACCCTTATAGTTTTTTACAAAGAATTGTTTCTCATACTCAAACCGATAACTTTACTGTGGCTCTAAGACTCGCCCTTTGAGGAGGACTAATGCTCAATGAATTTTGATATCAAAAGTAGAACATTAGAAGAATGAAAATGCATTACCTTCAAGGGAGAGTCCCCAGAGAAAGGCTTGACACCAGTCACAGAGCAACCCATGATGAGGCCATGCCGCCTTTCACCACGATACCATTTTGGACCTATCCTTTTCAGCTTGACATCTTTGAAACCAGCCTTTTTAAACCATTCAATATACTCTTCCTCCTTGGGGAAGAGCATCCACATGTCTGCAAAGAACCGAGACAACCAGAAAGTTGGGTATACAGGACCTATAATACATGCTTTGCCTCCTATTCTCAGCACTCTGTATGCTTCCTTAATGCCACGCTGTGGGTCAGGCCAGTATTCAATACTGAAGAACATAATCATATGTCATATTGATACAAGATTAGCCATTTTGTAAAAGATGCTTACATTTCATCATTAAGACTAATTTTGTATATTTGCTTTTTAGCTAATGATCATAGAGTTTAAGAATTAGTTATCATGATTCATGAAGGCTAAATTTTAAAAAAAAATTGGTTTGATGATCATAAGACTAAGATTTAGTTATGGTTTAACTTAAAAAGCTGAATTGGGCATCAGCTAATTTAGCTATCAACTATCCTATTATAAGTGTCATTTAAACTACATATCAGTTTAAATGCAAAACTACATTCAATTATCCTACAAGCATGCCTTAAAGTTGAGGTTCAAACCCATGTCAGAGAAATAGCCTTAAAAAGAGTGAATGTAACTCACTGACATTAAGACAAATTACCAAAGCCCCAAATCTTAATTGCAGTCCTTCAAAAGAAAAAATTGTCACTACATATTACCTTCCAGCAGAAACATATCGATCAGCATAATCAGTTGGAAATGGAAGATCTTCTGCATCACCCTCAATTATGTTGCATTCTTTCAAGGGTTCCTTCTTCTTAGCCTTGGCCAGCTGGTGAGGGGACTGGTCAAGAATGGTAACATTTTTGGCATCCACATGCTTCACAATACCAAGAGTGGTGAATCCAGTTCCACCCCCTACATCCACCACTCTCATATTACGGTCGTAGAGATCAGCAGGCTCCAGTGCCTCATCTCTCATGTCTTCAGTCCAGTGCCCAGGGTTTATAACATGATCATATACAATAGACAAAAACCTGTAGAACCAGAATGCCTCTTTCTTGTGTTGGATGAATCTAGGCTGAGAAGCAGGCCTGAAGGATGAGATGCTGCATCTGGGTGTCAAGTGTTTGTTACTATAAGACACTGCCCTCTTCTTCTTGAAGAAGCAGCTCTTGTGGAAGTTAAGACTCACTAAGCCTAACTCAGATGGAGCTATGCCACTAATGAGCTTTGTATTTTCAGCCCCACTAAGCATCAAGGAGGCCATGGAGTGATAACAATGAGAAAAGTTGCTGAAATACTAAGGTTCTTCCAAGGAATGGCACATTTTTTTTATTATGATAGTTTATATCAAAGAAACAAGACATGGATGGTTTGAAATTATGAAAGTGACTGGCTTAGTAAGGATTACGCTGTGAGAGATAAAGACACAGAACTTGGTGCTGGTTCAATAAATAAGTGAATATGCACCACATAACATAAACTAGCGCTGATGTGTTCTTGTTCTATTCATCACTGAGGTGTTGCCATCACATGACAATGGATTTTTTCATTTAATAAAGCAACACATATTTCATATTTATTAATAAGGTGGAGTTATATTTATAAACTTTTTTGACAAACTCTTACAAATTATATATTAGGGGTAGTACACTATGTGCTAGAATATATTATCCTTAATACATAGTTCAGTTTGTAAGAGTTTATAAATTAAAAAATTGTAAATATAACTTTAGTCTTGTTAATAAATCCAATTATTTTTATTTCTTAGCACGAGAATGAGAAAGGATGGATGAAAGAGTGAGTTCTGCGTTTTTGACCAAAAAATTGCAAATTTCAAAAAAATTCATATGTTTAGTTCGTTCACCAAATGTTTTATCGGATTAATGCAAGAAGACACGTTTCAGGTGGTTACGTGTTTAGTCGCGCACTTGACACATGCGTGTTTCTGACAAATCTGAATACGTACATACTAGGTGCGCGTTTCTGACAGTGACGGAACATGCATGCCTGAATATGACACATCTTGGTACTGTACTCATCAGACTTGTCAGAAACACGCACCTGGTACAGACATGTTTAGACACGTACCTGATACAGACGTGTTCAAATTCGTCAGAAACATGTCAGATGCGCAACTAAACACGTAACTACGTGAAATGTGTCTTCTTACATTAGTCCGGTAAAACATTTACTGAACGAACTAAACATATGGATTTTTTTGAAATTTGCAATTTTTTTGTCAAAAACCCATCGAGATTCTATATGATTTTACTTAAGCACCCTTGGCTCATTTATGGAAATATGCTGCATCCATGAGAGTAACGAAACTAACAATTTTCTATATAGGAATAAGTTTTGGAAGCATATGAAAAAAGGAAACATGAATAAACATCGAACCCCGAACGAGTCAAAGGGCGCAATAATAAAGAGCCAAGGAAAAAAACAGTGGAAAAGTGTAGACCATCTATGATTTTAGTCTATGAGTTGCAAAATTAGAACGAGGACAAGAAGGTAATTCAATCAAAGAGCATATTAGAGGTTAAACGAACTGGATTATGAGGTGGTTCCAAGGAGACCAATCAACTGCTACCAGCTGTACACTCAAAGATGAAGATATGATAGTGGCTAACATATTCACAAGGCATCTTATCAGGTCCAGAACAGCAAGATTAACAGCAAAATTCCTCCATAAATAAAAGAAAGAATTCACATTAATGAGAAACTAACAATATAGTAAAAATGATTGGTGTTTTTTTGTGTTATAGACACTGTACATTTTTACGTAGGAGTAAAAAATAAAATTATCTCATGTAATATAAGAAATATTAAAGTAAAAAGCAAAAACATTCAGAGCCATTGATTGTTTCCTTTTAACTGTTTCTCCACCAATGATAGATCGAGAAAAGCTAGTGTAGATGGGAGAAACTTAAAGAAGGGAAATTCCATGAAAAGGATTGTTAGGATTCTTTTTTAGAAAAAAAGGAATAAAATGAAGGAAGAAGGTCGTTGGTAGGTTAAGATGGCTTTATATACAAAGCAAATTGACATTGTACAAAGAGTATTATTGAATAGGTGGGGTTTGGTAGAGGAGCAGAGCAGGTACTAGGTAACAACTGCCCTTTTACCATACCAATGTACGTGTTGTCTAAATTCTAAAGTCCCGTGAAGAAAAGGAATAGAGATTTATTAATTGATCCAAATCGATTCAAATTGTGGTGATTGAATCGATAAATTAAAAATTAAAAAATTAAAAACTGAAAAAAAAAATTATAAATTTTAATTTTATTAGATCAATTTTTGAATTAGTTGATAAAAATGGATCCAATATATTAATTTTTTTTATCTACTTGAATCTTTATCTAATCATAGCCTAAAAATTTTTAAATAGTATCCATTTATATATATTTTTTCTCTTTATTTCTATATATGTGAGTGTAGAAACATAATTTTATGTTATATTAAATGAGATAAACAATTTTCATTTTCAGTAAAGATAGTATTTGCCTTTCCCCAAAATAAAAGTATATAGTATTTGCCACAGTAACAGAGTGAAGACACCGGCACCGCGTGCGACTACTGCTCAAACAAAGTCTCAAAGGTGGAAAGAGAGAGAGAGAGAGAGAGAGAGAGAGAGAGAGAGAGAGACAAAAAGGACCCACCCAAAATGAGAAACTCAAAAGAAAACCAGCTTTTCTTCCAACACAACAACACAATAAGGAAAACTTCAATTTCAACTTGAACACTTGAAAACACGGTTTTCTTTTACACCCCCATAATATTGGCTTCATTGTGAATACTTCATACTTCAAACATCCAACACACAAGCTGAAAAACCTTTCTTTCATATTCTTCACCAAACACACTTGTGTCCTGTCTTTGTCTCTGTTTGTTCTTTTAAGTACAACCTTAGATCCTCCTTTGTTGTTTTCAGAACCTACCTTGCTTTCATGGCCAACACTTGATTGAGTTCATGAAGATTTCTGGGTCATTCTTGTTTTCCTCAAAAATGGAATCTTGGGATTCAATCACATCTGTTTCATAAGTTTCGTTATTCATCAACCGTGTGCAAGCTAGGGATTTTCCATTGCCACCACCTCAGCTTCAGAAGATGCAATCGGGTGGGCTTGAATCTGCAAGCCCCGTGACCAACCGGGTTCAGTCTCTGTCTTCTGCAACAGATACAAGAGGGAAGCATAGGATACATGCAGAACTGAAACGGTTGGAACAAGAAACGCGGTTCTTAGAGGTAGGTACTTCACCATCTTCATCACAATGTTTTTGGAGTATTGTTCATTGGCGGGGTGTGTTTTTTCTTTTTGTTTGTTCTGAAAGTGTGTCGTTTTTATATTGGCCTTTTTGTGTTTTGATGGGTTACTTTTTGTTCTTCTATGTGTTAACGTGAAATGGTAAAACGGGTTGGGAAAGTTTTTTTTTTTTTTTTACTTTTATTCATTGTTATGTTAGTATCGTCTGAAACAAATGGCATATGTGAAATTAATAAAATTGGTTGTTGAAGAACCTTGAGGTCACCACCCCAAAAGCTAGCTCAAAGGGTGGGAGTGCTCAAGACCTTATAAACTCCACATTAGTTGCACTTACAACCAATGTAGGACTATATATCTCAACACGCCCCCTCACACGAGAGCCCATTGGGCTTGAAGAGTGGACAAAGCAACAGACCCATCCTACCTGTGCTAAGAAACGCCACAAGAGAAAGTGGGGGGCGGCGAGACTTTGATACCATGTAAAGAATCTTGGGATAATGTAAAGAACCTTGGGATAATGTTGGAAATTAAATTAACAATTTAGTTGATTGCTGGAATAACAGACAGTTTGGTTTATGGAATTTGGTCATATAAGATAGTTTGTTAAATTAATGTTCAGATAGCGGAATTACATGCTATTTGCAGTCTATGAACCTCAAGTATGGGGTGGCCTCCTGATAGTTAGAAGGTAGTTGTTTTATTAAATGCATGCTATGTAGTAATTTTTCCCCCCTATGAATATTTTCTGGCAATCATAATGTTTTGGTACCTGAATTTTTTACAAAGTTATGTTAATAACATTTGGGTCATCAATTATGGTTGCTGAACAAAATGTGTTTTTACAATGAGTCCTCACTTAGAAATCTTAACTTTACAGTGATTGATGATGTGCGGATTAATCGGTCTACATGTTGTCAATTTGTCATTGCAGCAATAGGAGCTAGATGGTTTAAATGATATAACAGAACTTATTTTCTATATTTTTTTACTTTTATTTTTCATTGTTTGTTTCTTATTACAGTTGGACAACTTAACTTTTACATTTTGTAAGAAATTGCCAGAAAGTCCATTTATTAGCATTAAGGGGCATAGAATCTCTAAGTTGACTCAAAATTGATAATTTATTTTATCACTGTTTTTACTAGTGGTAGCTTCATTTTGTAATCTATGCCTCATGGCTCAAGGAGACGAGCCTTGTTTAATTTTAAATGAGTTTTGATGTTGTATCTCTTTTCATTTTAAGAAAATTGTTTCACCGAGCCCAACTATTTTGGGATAAAAGTGATGTTGATGTTGATGTTGATGTTCATTTTAATAAAAATGTCTGTCCATTTTAACTATCGTTGATATGCATCCATGTTTCTTTCGTAATTTTACCTTCAAAAGTATTCTTCGAAGTCATTATTATTTAAATTATAAAACAAAATGATGACATGGCAATAATTAATTAAGTGATCATAAAGTTGAACAAACACCAAAGTCTTATAGGGGACCTTATTTTTTAGCATAAACTGGAAATTGAGTTTCAGGAATGACATGAATTTCCAATTTTTGGGGCTCTGATGCCTACCTCTTTATTTCCCTGCATTCTGTTAAATGTGGGCTATGTTGACTCACATTCTTGAAGTTGTGTTCATCAAGCTTTAATCAAGGCTTTCCCCTTCCTAGCCTCAATTTTGAAACTGAAGAAGATTAATTAGGACCATCAAGAAAGGTGGACACAGGGATACGTTTCAACAAAATTAAGTCAGTTTTTGGTCTGGTCTCATATGCTTGCATTATCACTTAGTTGATGCTAGTCTTGTAATATCTTAATTGCCTATTTATTGGCAATAGGAAATACTTTTCTTTGGAGAATTATCACATGCGCTTCCTGCATTCCAGAGGTTACTGCTCCTTCTGTAGATTATTTATGCTAGTGCACTGTTTGAGAAAAGATTAATAAAATCAGAGTCATTCTGATCAATCAACAGAGACTGGGATTTAAAGGGTCCTCTATTCATCTATAAACCAATATGTGAATGATTACACGAGGTTAATCTAAATTAACTAGGAATTGAAGGTGGATGTCGAAGTGATAAATTGGGAGTATAAAAAGCGAAAGCATATGAAGATTACCTATGCTTTCTAGACTATTTTATGCAAACCTTGAAGATATTACTCCATTACACATTGCATTCAATATCTTATCCCCATTTCAATGTAAAAAAAGTAGAAGTTTAAAACTACATATAGTCATAAATCTCAGAAATATCATAAATATTACATGGAGGCTCCTATCCCCCTTGCAAATGGAACAAACAGCAATAGAGTTTAAAAAACTTCAAGTTATTATAGTTATACAAAAATGGAATGTGTGCCTTTACTTTTGAATTTTATTGGATGGAGGGCCTTGCTGAGACTTAAGGTGTGTTTGGATTTGATTATTGGGGGGCTGGGGAATCACTTTTTTTTTTTTTCAAAAGCTGTGTCAGGGGGCTTTTTTGTTATAAGCTGTTTTGAATACAAAATAAGCTAATTCAAACACACATTTATCTGGAGAATTATCTATAGAAGGGAGAGAGAGATAGAAATCTTTCTCTACATAGTCTTATTTAAGGTTTAGGGTCTTAAAAACTTAATGTATCTCACCATAATAGATAACTGTCAATCTGCTCAGACTATGCCTTTTGAAAATATTTCGGAGTTTCTGTAGTTTTTTTATACATACATGAACCTTAGTATTTTTTGTTTGGGATAAAAGTTGAGGCACAAACTGGAAGCGCGAGTTTTTTTTGGCTTTTGTAATAATTCCATGGTCAACACTAACAAACAAGTTGGAGAAGATATAATTGCAATTGACATAGTTGGCTTAATGCATATGATGAATGTACCTTCTTTCATTAAGTTATTCATGAAATAGGTACTCCATCCATTAATTTAAGTCTCCCAGTTTGCTTCTGGTTCTTATCTATCAGTAATTTACTACTTTCCCGTTTGAATTCTTTGTACATATTTATTAGCATAAAAAACTCTTTAAGTGTTTCAACTTCATCTCTGGAAATAATTGAGATTCCATTTCTCAACTAACAATCTTCAAATTGTGTCCTGAGGCAACACGTAATGGGACAGAGGGAATATGATTTATCACCAAAGACCTTCCAATCTTATGGCATCTCTTCTTTTAAACATAAGATCATGAATTCTAAATTCTATGACCAATTAAACACCAAATTTGGACATTTTAGATCACTTACAAGTAGGCACTCTCTATTGAATTGGGGAATTGCGGGAATGCTGTACGAACTTGATTTAGATCTTGACTAAATCAAACAAAAATTAGACCCCTTCATTGATCCTTACCATCCTAAAACCTACCTTCAAATTTAGGTGTGAAGGAAATATGGTAACATTAGATTCGGGATTTGTCAAGCTGAATAGATCACTGCCAATACCTTTTAGAGCTCGTGTTCTGGTCAGTTAAGGATATGCAATTAAGCGGTCACCACTGAAGGTTCAGAGAACTAGCAATCCCCTGTGCAGTTATGTTGAGCAAAATAATGTTGCCAGTGATGAGTAAAGCTGATAAGGGGACCACTGCTAACTTTTTAGTTAATATAGTTTCATGTTAGGAGGTATGTTATCAAGTCCTTACCTAGTTAAGATTATTCTGTATCCATCAAGAGGCACATTTCATCCATTGAGAATAGAACCAAGCATTAATTTGTCAGATATATAGGTTTATTTGTTATTGCTTTAAGTGGCCAGCTGTGTAGGTCACTTTGAAGAGGATAGGACTGTAGAAGGATTTGAATTTTTTTAGACATACCTTAAAAACTGCTTCTTGTTTTGCTATATACCCCAAGCATTTGGCATAAGCTCATTTGTTAGGAGTCTTCTATTATTCTGAAGTCCGAACTCCAAACAAGCTGGTTCTTAGCCTCTCTCTTTTCAAAGACTTGCATTTAATTCTCAATCCCAAACTTGTGCTGCAAGTGTTTTAATATTCACTATAAAATGAATGCAGGAAGAGCTGGAAGAGCTTGAAAGGATGGAGAAAGCATCTACACGGTGCAAAGAGTAAGCTTAAAAGCGAAAATTGATTTGATAATGTATAATCAATGTTGTTTTAAGTTTTAACTTTGAATTTCCATCTGGTGTTTGTTTTGCCAGAATGCTCAGCAATGTGGAAACAAGACCTGATCCGTTACTACCATCGTAAAATCTCTTATCCGAACTTCTTATCTATATCTATGTTGCAACCACATGTTATCTTTGATATGTTTTTGGTAACAAAAGATCTGTTTTTCTGGTTTGATAGAACAATTGGTCCCCTAAATTCTTCATGGGATCGATGGTTTGAAGGCCCTCAAGATTCCAAAGGCTGCAGATGCTGGATTCTCTGATGGTCAATGCTAATTGCCAGAGTTTTTTTTTTTTTTTTCTTTCGTTTTTCTATCCCAGATTGGCCTAGAAAATTTGTGAGTTTTGAAACAATATTATTGTTGTCAAATTTTCATGAATGCTTCCGTGTGCAGATGACAATTACAGCAAATACATAGTTTTTCTTTCAGTTAACAGCTAAATTGTTCCGGTGATAATTACCATTGATGATAAGCGTGGGATATGAGATATGGCAGTAGGGGTTTCAATTTCTTGATATCTTTGGTAACGACATGCTCTTAACAAATTGAAACTAAAACAATCTACAAATTAGCTTGGCTTAACTCTTTGAAGTATGCAGATACGTAAATTTTTGTCACTTATCACATAAATTGAATTCATGAAAATTGAATCTTATTCGAAGTTTCCAGCAACCCAACGTCGTGTTGGTGTTTTGCTAGTTACTTGCTGGCCAATCCATTCAAGACCATCATACATCCCTTCTCCAGAGAGGACACTGCAAGCTTGTCAGAACAAATAATCAAGATTAATTCTTCTCATGTTCTCACTTGATACACTTTATATACTTGATAGGCTATATATAGTCTATAAAGTGCGTGGGATAGGGTAGGGCTGCAGGGATTTCAAACTATTGATAGCTTTGGTAAACGATATGCTCCATTACACAAATTGAAACTGAAAAAACCTACAAATTAGCTTGGCTTGACTCTTTGAAGTATAAATGATACGTAGATTCTGTAATTCATCACATAAATTCAAGAATATGAATCTCATCGTAAGTTTCCATCAACCCAACATCATGTTGGTGCTTTGCCAGTTACTCGCTGGGCAATCCATCCAAGACCATCATACAACCCTTCTCCTGAGAGGGCACAGCAAGCTTGTATATGCCAATCATGATCCTTGATGCTGTGAAGGGATAGTGCATCGGTGATCTCAGCAGGAGTCATAGCATCCTTGATATCTTGTTTATTAGCAAAGACAAGAATGACAGAATGTTGTAATTCTTCATGCCCCAACAACCTGAAAAGTTCATCCTTCATAATAGAGATCCTGGCTCTATCACTGCTGTCTATCACCGCAATTACAGCATGAGTTCCTCGGTAATATGTTGCCCATGATGTCCGCAGTCTTTCTTGTCCGCCAAGATCCCAGACCTGAAATGAATGACAAAGAGTAGTGAGTAATAGCTCTCATCCAGCACAATAGCAAAGCTTGCAAATATTCCATACCAAATGTAGATTAAAAACATAAGTGTGGATTGTTATGAAAACCAGAACCATCCCTTCTTCAAGAAAATAAAATAAAATAATCATTAGCAAGCAAAGGACTTGAAGAAAAGTTAAAAATGCCTCTCCTCGCCAAAACCTAAAGAAGAAAAGCAGAAATATAGTTATAATAAATGCTATCAACTTCCAGTCTCCTCATTCTCCTCTATCACAATTGTCACTCACCATGCGCAACCCACCTACATGCATTTGCAAATCCATCATCTGGGCACATCACTTTCACAACCGCCACATTACTCCTGTAAATCAAGGAGCTTACACCCCAAAACAACACACATCCTCCATACTTCTCACTTGTGCACCCTATGTCCAGAATTTCCTAACTGTTGAGATATATAGTCCCACATTGATTATATGTGCAACTAATGTAGAGTTTATAAGGTCTTGGGCACTCCCACCCTTTGAGCTAGCTTTTGGGGTAGTGTATCCCAAGGTTCTTTACACTAACCTCCTTCACTTTGCAGGTATCCACACACACATACCTGATTATTGGCCTACAATTCTGGTCTTATCTATTCCTGTGTCCATACCAACGATTTGAGGATTGAAACACCAGCCTCTATCAATTGGACTGGATATTTCTTGTCCCATCGTACCGAACAGTGATCATCTCATGTTCATACAGAAACACCTAGCATTCAATAACATTGAATGCCAACACGGTGGTTGGAGTTGTAAAGAATGAAGGGTAGTCAAGCATTCTTAGAAACGGAGACAAGTAAACAATGTCCAGGACAAAGCTGAGTCTGGTCCCAAGTATCTTCAAAACACAAATTTCATGGAAACCTAACAGATATATTGGTAAAAGTCCAAAGGCTATTTTCTGTATGTTCGGATACTCTAAAGAATTAAATTTGAGTGCTTATAAAAACAAACTTCCTGTGGCCTGTTATTTACTAATAAAGGGAAGGAAGGGTGCTTTTCGGGATATAGCTTTGATCAGACCAATGGCAATGAAAGACTGAGAAGAGACAAGTCCTCACCTCAGACTCATATATATTCAGCAAAAATGAAGATGACATAAAATCCTTGAAGCAAGATCATATCATGATATTTTATAGCAGAATAAATAAAAAAATAAAAATAAAAGTAAAGTGACAAGTGAAGAAGGGACCTCGAATCGTATATTCTTGTATACAAGCTCTTCGACGTTGCTACCAACAGTGGGATTTGTAGTGACAACCTCACCGAGATGCAATTTATAAAGGGTGGTTGTCTTTCCAGCGTTATCCAACCCAACAACCACAATCTTATACTCCTTAGCAGGGAATAACATGAACCAGAACCGTGATATCATTGCCCCCATCCTCTCTATCTATCTACCTCTTAATTATTCACCTACACAATCATCGAACCAAACCCATCAATTACCAACTAAATGGGTATCTGAAAATCTGATTGTAAACCAAAAAAGCAACAAACTTGCGCTGGATCAAAGTCAAGCTTGCAGATCGATAAAACAAAAATGTGCAAAAAAAAGCATGGAGAACGAAAACGATCGAACCTGGAAACGTTGTTTCTTGCAAGGAGAATCGGAGTTGTTTGCTGTGTGAATTGGAATCGTGAAAAGGAACCCCAAATTCCGATTTGTGACGGAATTTTCAATTTTGATTTGGTTTTCAGTGGAAAGGAACTACGTCGTTGGAATATAAAATTGTGGTTTACGGGCATGACGTGGACCGCATTGAGGTCGCTGAGTCGCCAGCCACGTCGGCAATTACAAAAATTTTAATGTTTATTTATTGAAAAAAGAGTTTGTGATTTTAAATGACATAAAGTTATGTTATTTAGGAGAGAGATAGACACAAAATTAATTTTTATTTAAAATTTAAATTAAAAAAAATCACTCACTTTCTCTCTCCAATGATTTCCATTTTTTGTGTTTATCTCTTTCTTAAAATCACATAACTTATGTCATTTAAAATGTCAAACATCAAACCCTTATTTATTAAGTTTAAAGTTTCTAAAATTATTTTAAGGGAATAATATCTGTCATTTTAAATGATATAAGCTTATATCATTTTAGATCATAATCGTTGATTTCCGTCCATCAACGGTTATAATTTATTAAAATTTATAAAATTACTTTAGATAACTTTATTTAATATTCATTAAAATACACACATAAAGATGTGAGTTTATATTTTTTTTCTCTCTCTTCTCTTTACATATGTGGACCATACATATTTTTTTATGTATATTTTGATGAACAATAGTTAAAGTTAGGGAAAAATATCTATCATTTTAAAGAATATAAACTTATATCATTTTAGATCTTAACCGTTGATTTTCGTCCATCAACAATTATAATCTATTGGGTCAAACTTAATGGGCCAAATTTATTATTAATTAATTAATAATTTTGATCCAATAAATTATAACCGTTGATGGACGAGAATCAACGGTTATGATTTAAAATGATATAAGCTTATATCATTTAAAATGACAGATGTTGTTATCAAAAAAAAAAAAAAAAAAAAATGACAGATGTTATTCCCATTAATTAATTAACAATTATAAGTTTTAAAATTTTTTTTTGGTACAATATAAGTTTTAAAATCTTTTTTTTCTTGTTTATGTTCTAAATAGAAATGGTTAAAAGTAATTGTTTCACCGTCAAGCTCAAAATTTCGATTATTTGATAAGCACTCTTTATTTTTTGGAGTTACCCAACCCTAATTATCTCTTTGAGACGAGTTGGCTCCCTCCGATATCCCCACGAGCTTCGACTCTTTGAGCCGGCTCTGGGACTAATCCGGAGTGCGGGGAAACAGTGATGGCTAAAGGTTCAGCCCCCTCCCCAAGAATGCATTCAGCTGAAATCGAACACATATCCAACCCTATTAGCTCAGCGCCAAGTTACTAACTGAGCTGCACCATTGGGTTTTTTATCGATAAGCACTCTTATGTCTATATATCTCAAATAGATCTCAATTGTTTTTCGTTAATTTTGTTTATCTCCAAGTCCTTAAATGTTTTCTTAATTAGAGATTTTATATTTGAACATTGGGCTATTATTGTCTACTCCTTTGTGTTTTTTTCTTGATTATTATCAAGTGACATCGAAATATCAAGCCAGATTTACGAGAGAACGAAAAAATAAAATAAAATCAAAGTTAGGGATTTTAAATGGGCTGCTTTAATAGTTTAAGAGTTTTATTAATGTCATGTAACATAATTTAAATGTTGTTTCCAACACATACAATAAAAGAGAGAGAAAGTGGAATAATGAAAGAAAAAAAAAAATATGGATCCCATCTGTTTAATGTGTGTATAGAAAAATGAAATTATATTATATTACATGATAAACATAAAACTCGTAGTTTAAACCCTGCCTACTTAATATTGGTTCAAAATATAAAGATATAAAGACAATGCCATCCGTGTCAAGAGCTTTTGTCAAGATAACATTATATTACGATAAATGATGCTTTCCATACCATTTTTTACATATTCGTATAATTTAGGGGACAAAAATATCGTTTTTTCAAACGCTAGAGACAAAATGTAACAATTTATTAAGCGAAATAACCTAAATTTGTAATTAAACCAAAACTATAGTAACAATTCTATTTAAAGTCAGGATTTTGAAAATATTTCCCTCATACAAAGATGGTGAATGATAAACAAGCACCCATTTTATATTTTCTTTAATTTAGTTTTAATTTTTTTTTTAAAATAAAATTATTTAGTTGACTCGTAGTAAAAATTTTAAATTATTCTGTATAAAAATATTTAAAATAGTTATTGCTTAAAATATATAAATTTTTGTTTTAAATTATCTTAATAAATTAAAAAAAACTTAATAATTAATAATCACACCACATCAGGTTTAGCTAAATTGAAAAAATATTTAATATAATCCCAGCCCACTAATTGATTCAATGATCTGAGCTAATTAAAATAAAATATTTTTTAACATGTGAGTCGAGAGAAAATAATATTTTTATCCAAATACCCTCCTCCTAATGAAGTGCGCAAAAGATGATCTCCCAAATTGTGTTGTGTCAAGTCTGGTCAAAATCAATTTCTTCTCCAATTTTATAACCTCAACTCACCTTACATATTTTGTTTGATTATTTGGGTCACTTCCCATATTTTGACATTTCTAATTTTAATTACATAACTAAAAACAACTTTAATTATTCATTATCCCTAAGGATGGTGTTCGGTCCTAGAAAGACCGTATTGCTATACCGTATGGTATGCGCTCAGAGATACTGTATAAACTGGTGTATACTTGGCTTATAGCCGATGTCTCAATCACTGCGCACAAGCAATAGGCTTATAGCCAAGACGTGAGTGTGTGCACAGTGTTGGCAGTATTAGTAAATAGGTTAAAAGTGTATACCTGAGGTCTTTAACCTCTTATTTATAAGGGTTACCTCTTGGGCTTGTGTAGATCTTCCAGTTGTAGTAGGATTTAACTTCCTTTCTGTTGGGATAGGGACTCTATCTTTAGCTGCCTTACTGTTTTATATTGTTAGGATAATTGAAGAATTATCCTTTAAGGGATCCTTGGGTAGGTGGTTAGGATATGGAAATATTCCATAACAGTTGCCCCCCAGCCCGGCAGTTCGAAAGCTCGGACTGCTGGGGTGCCTAAGTTTGATTGATAAATCGACCCTACCGAGGTACTATGATCCTGCCTTGGGTCTGGTGTGACTACCTCTTCTGATTTTAGCTTTTTATATTGGTTTCTTTTCTCTTGAAGTCTCTGAGTGGTGAGTTTGTTGACTTTGAGCTCTGCTTCTCTTGCCAAGGTTTTTTAGTTTTGACTAGGCTTATAGTCAGTCTTTTATATAGGCGTTCGCCTAAGTTTAGGATGGCTTTTCATGCCTCCTTAATAATTAACCCGACTTTGCACTTCCTGGCGTTAAGTGTCGTGGTTCCAGATTTGGCTCGGTTTCGCATACCGAGGTCTCTATTAGCATGGACTTCACCTTTTGCAAATGTGTATTGTACTTTAGGGAGCATGAATTTTCTTACTACGACTTCCCCCTTTTGGATTTGACTTGCTGCCAATGTTAATTTTGGGAAGGTCTTTCGTGCCTTCTTGAACCATTAATCCGGCTTCGAATATCACGACTTCTCTTGTTTTTGATGGACTTGGCTTCTTTTGCCATAGTCTTAGATTCTTGAATGAGGAGTTCGCCTCCTCCATTTTAAGCCCGAATACGTATACCGAGGCTTTTATTTTGAGCCCCGCTTCATTTGCGATGGCTTTCTTTAAATTGACTCGGCTTTTGCCTTGTCTACACTTTTGAAGGCAGTATCGTTGCCTTTCTTATTTTAGCCCGGCTTAAAGTACCGTGGCTTTACTGTTGGATTAGAATTTTTGCCAGTTTTGTTTGAGTCCGGCTTCGCATACCGTGGCTTTCTACTTTGAGCCACGCTTCATTAGCGGTGGACTTTTTATCTGAACCCGGCTTCTTACGCCGTGGTTTTCTTATTTTGAACCCCGCATCATTAACGATGGATCTTTAATTTGAGGCTGTCCTGTTGGGCCGCCGCCTCGATTTTTCTTTTATCTCAAATTGGGATGTGATCTTTTTCCAGATCACTATCTCTCCAAATTCGTCTTCTCGGATTGGGGTGTGATCTTTTTACTAGAATCACATCTCTTCAATTCTGTCTTCATTTTTATCTCAGATTGGGGTGTGATCCTTTTATTAGGATCACATCTCTCATTTTCTGTCTCCATTTTGATCTCGGAGCCTGAAGATAAGGCTAGGGCTGAGTTGGAGCTCAAGGCTGAGGCCGAGCTATTAAATTTGAAGCCCTTCATTGGGCTGAGTTGGAGCTCAAGGCCGAGGCCGAGCTATTAAAGTTGAAGTCCTTCACTGGGCTGAGCTCGAGGCTGATGCCGAGCTTTTAAACTTGAAGCCCTTTGTTGGGTTGAGCTCAAGACCGAGGCCGAGCTATTAAATTTGAAACCTTCATTGGGCTGAGTTGGAGCTCAAGGCCGAGGCCGAGCTATTGAAGTTGAAGCCCTTCATTGTGCTGAGTTGGAGCTCAAGGCTGAGGTCGAGCTATTAAATTTGAAGCCCTTTATTGGGCTGAGTTGGAGCTCAAGACCAAGGCCGAGCTATTAAAGTTGAAGCCCTTCACTGGGCTGAGCTCGAGGCTGATGCCGAGCTTTTAGACTTGAAGCCCTATGTTGGGCTGAGCTCAAGGCCGAGGCCGAGTTATTAAATTTGAAGCCTTCATTGGGCTGAGTTGGAGCTCAAGGCTGAGGTCGAGCTATTAAAGTTGAAGCCCTTCACTGGGCTGAGTTCGAGGCTGATGCCGAGCTTTTAAACTTGAAGCCCTTTGTTGGGTTGAGCTCAAGGCCGAGGCCGAGCTTTAATCTTGAAGCCCTTTGTTGGGCTTAGCTCAAGGCCGAGGCCGAGCTAATAAATTTGAAGCCTTCATTGGGCTGAGTTGGAGCTCAAGGCCGAGGCCGAGCTATTAAAGTGAAGCCCTTCACTGGGCTGAGCTCGAGGATGATGCCGAGCTTTTAAACTTGAAGCCCTTTTTTTGGGCTGAGCTCAAGGCTGATGCCGAGCTTTTAAACTTGAAGCTCTTTTTTTTGGGCTGAGCTCAAGGTCGTGGCCGAGCTATTAAACTTGAAGCCGTTCGTTGGGCTAAGCTCGAGGCTAATGCCGAGCTTTTAAACTTGAGGCCCTTCATTGGGCTGAGCTCCAGGCTGTGGCCGAGCTAATAAACATGAAGCCATTCGTTGGGTTGAGCTCAAGCCTAGGCCAAGCTAATAAATTTGAAGCCCTTCACTGGGCTGAGTTGGAACTCAAGACCGAGGCCGAGCTAATAAATTTGAAGCCCTTCATTGGACTGAGTTGGAGCTCAAGGCCGTGGCCGAGCTATTAAAGTTGAAGCCCTTCACTGGGCTGAGCTCGAGGCTGATGCCGAGCTTTTAAACTTGAAGCCCTTTTTTTGGGCTGAGCTCAAGGCCGTGGCCGAGCTATTAAACTTGAAGCCCTTCGTTGGGCTGAGCTTACGACCGAGGCCGAGCTAATAAATTTGAAGCCTTCATTGGGCTGAGTTGGAGCTTAAGGCCGTGGCCGAGCTAATAAATTTGAAGCCCTTCATTGGTCTGAGTTGGAGCTTTTTCCTTATGATTTAATGACCTCCAGGTCTTCACTTGCTCCATCAAGAATTGCGACGACGAGAATCTTCGTCAAATCGTCGCCTGCTTGGATCTTGAGCTCTATTCTAGAGTCTCTCGGAGGATCAAAAGCCTTTTTTGCGGTAGGATTTGTCTCCTCATATGTATGTGGTTTCAGCAATTTCAGGGCGCGCGAGGTCGCCTGCAATCTGTGGCTTCATGCTATGCCGCGCGTGTTCACCATGGATGGGAGTCGAAATTTGCCGTTTCCCACAGACGGCGCCAATGTTCGGTCCTAGAAAGACCGTATTGTTATACCGTATGGTATGCGCTCAGAGATACTGTATAAACTGGTGTATACTTGGCTTATAGCCGATGTCCCAATCACTGCGCACAATCAATAGGCTTATAGCCAAGACGTGAGTGTGTGCACAGTGTTGACAGTATTAGTAAATAGGTTAAAAGTGTATACCTGGGGTCTTTAACCTCTTATTTATAAGGGTTACCTCTTGGGCTTGTGTAGATCTCTCAGTTGTAGTAGGATTTAACTTCCTTTCTGTTGGGATAGGGACTCTATCCTTAGCTGCCTTACTGTTTTATATTGTTAGGATAATTGGAGAATTATCCTTGGGTAGGTGGTTAGGATATGGAAATATTCCATAACAGATGAAAATAACATAGTTATCTCTAATTTTAACATGAACGTGGAGGAAAAAAAGGGTGAAAATTATTAGTTAGTTATATCTAAGAGCTTTATTAATCTCATACAATAGGAAAGAACTCTCTTATGCAATAGAGATAATAATGTGTGAAACCCACCCACTCTAAAAAAATAACACAAAAATTAATGTATATATAGAAGAGAAAAATTTTCAACTACAACATAAAAATATATTTTCTCTGTATCTAATAGTTGTGTTTGATGTTATAAGATAATAGGTAACAATTGAAAGAAGCATGTATAACACTGTTAATGAAAAACACGTGTTTGTGTTAGGAACAGCACAAAGCCTAGTCCCTTCCGCAGTTTGGCGACAACATCAAAACGCATTTCTCAGTTCTCTGTCTGTTCCTTTTTCCTCGTTCTCTCCGCCCCTCTCTCTCTCTCTTAACCCAAACATTAAACATTAAACACAAACCTCGCCGCCACCGCCACTACAACTAACCTTCTCTCTCTTTCTCTCTCTCCTCGCCACTACCACAATGTCAGTGTCACACTCCCTCCAACTCCAATTCCAACTGGTGTCAACCCCACCATACACCGCACACACCCGCCTCCCAAGTTCCAAACTTTCCTTCCACCGTCACTCAGATCGGCGATTTGCCACCAACCACCTCAGCATCCGCGCTTCCTCCACTTCCGAAGTGTTGGTCTCCGACAACAACGGAGTGGGTCCAGGGTTGTCCTCGGATTTGAGCTCCATTGAGGTGGATGCTGTCACTGAGACAGAGCTCAAGGAGAATGGCTTCCGCAGCACGAGGAGGACGAAGCTTGTGTGCACCGTTGGACCCGCCACGTGCGGCTTCGAGGAGCTGGAGGCTCTGGCCGTTGGAGGCATGAACGTGGCGAGGATCAACATGTGCCATGGCACAAGGGAATGGCATAAGACCGTCATCGACCGTGTCCGAAGACTCAACCACGAAAAGGGTTTTGCTGTTGCTATCATGATGGACACTGAAGGGAGTGAGATTCACATGGGTGATCTTGGTGGTGCTTCCTCTGTCAAAGCTGACGTATATATATAATATATATCTCTTGTTATGCTTCATATTCTTTCCTTTTCTTGCTTCATTCATTGCTTGTTGCTTGTTTGATTGCTTTCTTGTAGGATGGTGAGATTTGGACTTTCAGTGTTAGAGCCTTTGGTTCAACTCTCCCGGAGCACACCATCAATGTAAATTATGATGGTTTTGCTGAAGGTTAATCTAATGAACCATTTTTTGTTTCTTATGAGCTGCTTTTATTTTTTAACTGTTGTTTACGAGGTTTTTAATTAACCTAATCTGCCAGATGTCAAAGTTGGGGATGATCTATTGGTGGATGGAGGAATGGTTAGGTTTGAGGTGATTGAAAAGATAGGTCCCGATGTTAAGTGCCGTTGTACTGATCCTGGATTGTTGCTGCCGAGAGCCAATCTCACATTCTGGAGGAATGGTAGTTTGGTACGAGAAAGGAATGCCATGCTCCCTACAATTTCTTCAAAGGTTCGCATCTCCTTTGCCTCTTTACTTTTTTGCATCAGTTTAATGTTAATTTTTTGTGCTTGAAAAGTACATGATTGGTGGAGTATAATATCTATTTTTGTGATGAGCTTTGCCTTAAGCAAGAAACGAAAGCTTGCTAATGCTGTAGTGTTATCCAAGGTCACAATTAGAAGCAATTGGTGCAAATGGGACTTTTTTTATTTGGGTCAGTGTCTGGGGTCAAATGACACCATTGGACTCTATCAAAAATCGAAAGTTCAGTAACACCATTTAGAGTAAGGTCTATTTTAATGGTTTCTCCTTAAAGTTTTCTGAGGTCTTCTGCTCCTTTTTGTTGTACCATCATAAATTTTGATCAAAATTTCTCATACGAGTCTTTGTTGGTCTTCTTACAAGTCATGACCAATCCACCTTAAGCAAGCTTCCATCATTTTCTCATCAATAGGCTTTGGTGTGTTACTCTACTTTCTGCTCTTGTTCACACTTCACTGACCAACATTGACTATCATAAAGCATTTCTGGTTTGATTGTTGCCATAGTTTGATGAGCACTTTGCATTCATAAATTGTAACTAAAGCATTTCTCCATTTCATCAACCCAGCTTGAATATGCATGACATGACATCCCCATCACTTTATGTGGTGGTTCCAAGATACGCAAACTGTGCAACTAATTGTATGATGTGCTTCCCAATTGACACTTCCAAAACATTCTCACATCTTATTGAACTTGCATTTCATATATTCCTTATTATTCCTACTCAACTGAAATCTCTTTGATTCCAAAGCTTCTCTCCACAAAAAGCATGCATTGACTCTTAGATGTGCCCTCTGCCCAATTAGTACGTCCAACCAAGTTGACCCCTGGTTCAAACCTATCATATTGTTATAGGAAAATCTTTTGTTACATCTGCATGAGTTTCAATACTTGTTGTTGTCCTATCATGCATATCCTTTATAGCAATAATATATGCGACATGAACTCCTTGATTCTCTAGATCCTATTACATGATTTCGCATGGCATCTTATCATAGGTTTTTTCTAGATCAATGAAGATCATGTGTAGATTTATTTTATTTTCCTGTTTCATTCTATATCTTTCTATCAAACCCAGCACTAGGTATATAGCCTCCATGATTACCACTACAGCATAATAGTAATTGAGTGTCCTCTTGTTGTAATATACTCTCAATTACTCTTTTTTCAGAGTGTCATCATTTGGCTTATTCTGTAGTTCGCACAATTTTGCATGTCTTTTTCATTCTTGTAAATAATTATCTAAGTGCTCATTCTCCACTCATCAAGCATTTTTGAGACCTTCTATCTCAATGAAAAACTTTGTGATCTGAGTTTATACCTTTCTCCCCTAAACATTTCCAAACTTTCATAGGCATATTATCCTGTCCTACTACTTTAGCATTGTCCATATCCTTTAGTGCTTCCTTTACCAAATTCTCGAATTATGTAAAAAAAGTATAATTTTGACATTCTCTAGTTTTCAAACTCTACAAGCCTACTATTGTTGCATGTTCTTGGTTTACTAGCTTGCTTGTAGAAGTAACTTTTCAATCTTTCCTTGATATCTTGTTTAGTATACAAAACTTTTCCTTCTTTTTTAATGTATTTCACTTTATCTGAATCTCTTGCTTGCCTTTTTTTTTTCCTCGGCTAGTTTGTAAATATTAACTTTTCCCGTTGTTGGTGCTTAAAGATTGATACATCCCCTCAAAAGCTTTGGCTTTCATCTGGCTAACTTCCTTCTTGTATCTTTCTTAGCTATTTGATACTTTCCCAGTTTTCAGTACGTTTTGCATGAGTGCAATACTTAAAAGCACTGTCTTTTAATTTAAACCTTTTGCTGAACACTTTCTTTGCACCATCATGCTTCTTTACTTTAGTTCTGTGTGGGTCTGGGTTTGGAGTAGCATTACTCTTGTTCAAGTAGCTAGAATTTGTTCTTTTTGTCTTGAATTGAAACATAAAGTCATGGATCAGTACAGTGAGTTCTGATGTCTGAGAATTATATATTTTACGAATGACATCCTAAGGTCATTTGTCTGCATTTCTTTTTTCTTCTTTATTTTCTTACAAGTACAAATTTGCTGAGAGATAAGAATAATATTATCATGCATAGCCAGTGTTGTAACAATAAGGTACCTGTTGTTTGTGATGATTCTAAACTGTATCACTAAAACCAAATTGACAACCTAATTTTGCACTACTATTTCCCATCCAATGTAGGCCTTGGAGAAACATGTTGACTATGGTTAGATTGACCTTGGGTTCAAATTGATGAGAAATCCGCGATCAAAATCTTAAAAAATTTTAAATCTTGTAATGCATGTGGCGATGGCAAATGATTTAACCATTGTGCATCATGGATCTGTGGTGAAATCTAAAGTCTAATTGTCATGCAAATATTTGGGAATTTATGCTTTCAAGTCTAAACCATTCATGTTGGATTCAGGTTGTTCATGTATTGATGCTGAATTTCCTTTGGTCAGAAAACTATCCATCCCAAATGATGTAATTTTTCATTTATCTGATTTTCCATATCCAGGATTGGTTAGACATTGATTTTGGTATTGCTGAGGGTGTTGATTTCATTGCTATTTCATTTGTCAAGTCTGCTGAAGTTATTACTCATCTTAAGAGTTATATTGCTGCGCGATCTCGTGATAGGTATGCATAAGAACTTTTTTACATTACTATTAAAAAGTATTATCATTATATCATTTCTAGTACTATTATTATTTCACCTTTGACAAGTAACACCTTTGTTATTTACTCCTTCTGGTATGCATCTTATTCTTGTCTTACGTTTTTCTTTATTCTTTGGTTGACTACGTGATTTTATAATGTTCTTTTTTTTTATAAAAAAATGGCTATGGAGTACATCTCAAAGAGACTAAAAGGTTAAAGCAAAAAGGAAAAAAACCATGGATGTTGATTTTATTGCTTGTTTACAGCTCAGTCCTTTTGATTACTTACGGCCCCATTTATGGGGATTTTCTAAGTCAAATGTGTTGGGGGGTTTTTCTATCCCATTGTTGGATTGAATAGCTACGTCATTCAACTGGAAGAGATCTACTATATTAATTGGGAGCTTAGATAACTCACATGAGAAGCTAGGACAGAAGCTGAGATTTGTTGCTGTCAGAATAAGATATCTCATTTCTGTGAAGTAATTCAACAGTAGCATGAGGGCTAAGAGATAAAGGAAGATAAATTATAAGAATAGAGCAGGTTCTTCATTAAGGTTTTCTCCTCTTATATAACTATTTATGGTAACCTGAAATTGTTTAATTGTTGTTTGATGAGGTGAACATTATTTCTAGAGGCTAAGGCTTGATGCAAGAAATGTTAATTCGTTATAAGTGAACACACAACATAAACTAAGGCATCCAAAAGGACTAGAGTATTTTGATTTGTGAACTGCCAATCAAATGTTTGTATGGTACTCTAAATACCATACCATAAAAGTATATGCCTGATTGAAGAAAGGTATTAATATTAGAAAAAGAAGAAAACAGTAAAAATTATTGGGCTATTTTATATAGAAATTGACTAGTCAGAGCATAACATTCATAGTAAAAGAAAACAGTAAAATGTTTTAAGTTATAAACATAAACATGCTAGTAAGTAGTAAGTTGATAACAAGTTCTAAAGGTTAAAGTTCACGACCTAGATAGATGTGGTAAATTTAATTCATAACTAAAAGAGATAAGCAGCCCAATGTTACGCAATCCTGAGTTCATAAGATAAACATAAATCAGTCCAAGAGTTCTATGGATTATGGAATTATATTGTATTCAGTGTCATCTTCTTTCTTAGATTTATCTCATTCCTGACATCATTTTTGTTTGATCCAAATCTGCCTTGGTCTCTTTCAATATTTGGAAGTGATTTGATCCTTTTCTGTGGACCATCATATTGGTTAGGCTTTTTGGCTTGACTAACAAAAATAATTTCATCCAAGGCACTAAGGGTGCTGTAGACATATGCCCAAATGAAGGCCATTGCCTCAAGCACCAGAGGCTATGAACCCCCTGATGCCTTGCCTTAGTGCCCATGCCTTTTGGAACCTTCAACTACACTTCCTCTTTGGCTTGAATACCATATGAATTTGAGTGAGGCGCTAGAGGCTATCTCCTTGCCTGAACCAGAAAAGCTCTATAAGGTGCTAGGGACGTGTGACTGACTGAAGGGGCATTGCCTTAATCAGGCTCGCGGACCCTTTCTCTAGTGCCTCTACTCTGTGCCTTGAGCACACCTTATGGCACCTTTAACTACATTGTTATCAAGTATGAGCTTCTAATTTCATTATTTTGCGGACTGCATTTCTTTTCCTTTTTTTGTTGTTTACTTTATGCGCTATCTTTTAGTAGTAAAATAAATTTATGAAGGAAGAAGAGAAAAGTACCAAGAAAGAGGATAAGACATCCTCTCAAGAAAACAAAACAAAGAGAGCAAAACTAGAAACTAGGAGATTGGAACATGTAACAAAGCATGCCAATTTCTCTGCATGTCTGAAAAAGGAAAATCTGTAAAAACACCGTGTACAGAACACCAAAGGTTGGCAAAAAAAATAATCCTATCCCAAATGAAGTCTAGAGCCAAACAAGTGCCCTTAAATATTTGCATTCCTCTCCAGCCATAAACGCCAAAGAACTGCAAAGACAGAACAATGCCACAAAATTTTAGCCTCTTTGTGCAAGCCAAAACCACTGAAATTAATCAAGAAAAACTGATCCAAATCCTTAGGAAGACCCAGTATTCTCCTAAAATTTCCAACAGCTTATTCCAAAGAAAATTAGATGCAGAACAGTGTAAAAAGAGATGAGCCCTGGTTTCCAAACTCAAATTAGGCATTTGGGGGACAAAGCAGGGAGAGGTCTGCACTTCTGTAATATGCCATCACTGTTAATCCTGTTAAGATCAACAATCCAAACAATTTTATGCGCTGTTGTCAATGTTGGCTTTATTACATATTTGGAATATGCTAATACTGAGAGTTGAGACTGAAGTACTGTAATGTAAATATGTAATGAATCTGGTTGTGCAGTGATATTTCTGTCATTGCAAAGATAGAAAGTATCGACTCATTGAAGAACTTGGAGGAGATAATTCAAGCGTCGGACGGAGCTATGGTGGCACGAGGAGACTTGGGAGCTCAGATACCTTTGGAACAGGTTCCATCTGCTCAACAGAGGATTGTTCAAGTTTGCAGACAGATGAATAAGCCTGTCATTGTTGCCTCTCAGCTACTTGAATCCATGATTGAGTACCCTACGCCTACAAGAGCTGAAGTAGCAGATGTTTCAGAAGCAGTCAGGCAACGAGCTGATGCTTTGATGCTTTCTGGTGAGTCAGCCATGGGCCAGTACCCTGAGAAGGCCTTAACTGTTTTAAGAAGTGTCAGTTTGAGAATTGAGAGGTGGTGGAGGGAACAGAAACGCTATGAAGCTATGGCACTCCCATCAGTTGGGACTTCATTTTCAGAAAAAATATCTGAAGAAATCTGCAATTCAGCTGCAAAGATGGGTAAGCAGTCTTCAAGTCTTGACTTCTTGCTTTGTTTGTTTTTCTTATTTTGTTCTTACAATTTGCATTTTCTATAATTTTCACTACTGCATACTTGATTTGATTTGTCAGCATCGGCATATAGTCATATACTGTTTAAGAGTTCAAAGTTAACAAAAATTTTATAGGCTGCTGTGTTGCTTTCCAATTGTTATGTTCGATAATCATGGTAATAAGCCTAAAACAATGATAGTTTTCGACTTTCTGTAAGAATCTCTGTGTTTAAGGAAACTTATATGCTGGAAGTCTTTTTTAATTATTCAGCATTGTTGTCTTTTACTTTCTTACAATAATATGACTTATAAGAGGCTTGCTGTGTTCTTGACATTATTTGATGAGGAATTCTGTGCTCGTAGTATTCATATTTCAGTCTACCTTCATGGTCAAGAGATCCTGATAGCTCATTTTATATTTTCAGTTTTGTATGCTTTTGAGTTGTTTAGTGTTGTATCTTAATTTGAGCTATAAACTTTTGGCAGCCAATAATTTAGAGGTGGATGCGCTTTTTGTTTACACAAAGACAGGCCACATGGCATCTTTGTTGTCACGTTGTCGTCCTGACTGCCCAATCTTTGCTTTTACAACCACTCCTTCTGTGCGTAGGCGTTTGAACCTTCAGTGGGGCTTGATACCTTTCCGTTTGAGCTTCTCCGATGATATGGAGACCAATCTCAACAAAACCTTTTCATTGCTTAAGGCCAGAAATCTGATCAAATCAGGTGACCTTGTTATTGCTGTCTCAGATATGTTGCAGTCAATACAAGTGATGAATGTTCCTTGAGAATGTTTCATTTCTTCTGAAAGCACGCTCTCTCTATATATTGCCCTTGGTTCAAAACTTGGGTTGCTGCTAGAGTGTTTAAATGGAGCACACCCACTACATGAATGAATTCTGTCATTCTGTCATTTTAAAACTAAAGGATGCAACTAAACTTTGGTTGAATTTATGTTTATGCTACTGGTGTTCTTTATTGTAGTGCATACATGTTATACACCTTCAAGGCCTACATATCTTATTGCAGTTGAGTGAGGAAATATATTACAATATTTACCCTTGTAAGTTATAAGGAAAATCTGAATTTTCTATGTTATATTGTATCATTGCATTAGCTTTTTTAACTTGCTTATTGTGTAAAACATGAAGTTTCAATAAAGATTCCACAGCAGTCAGTATGGGACCGTGTCAGATATGCTCAAAGTTATATACAAGCTGCAAATTTTCTGCATGCACCTTATTGTCAATTTCTACAGTTGCTTTACTTTAGGTTTTGGTATTTTAAGATACTCCTATTGTGATTGAGGAAGGAAATAAATAACCTTACCAAAGCAAGATGCTTCATAGTTCATATTGACTAGGATTGGCTTTGTTTAGTAACTCACATGGTTCAGTTTTCTTTATTCTTTTTCTTTTAATTTGGTTCCTTGTGGGCACAAGCATCATGTAGAATGCACGCCACAAAGTCACTCAATGATTGAATCATAAACGGATACTTCGATTTTTTGTTCTTATGGCATTAGCTAACCCATTAACATATAAACTGTTAAGAAGTTTGATACATTCATTCTTCCAAGAAACTGGTAAGACAATGTCCACGCTCACAATTTAAGTAGTCTAATTATAATTGTGCATAATATGGATAGAAGAATAGTACTATTTTATTCAGTGGTTTTTCTTTCTTATGTAACAGACACAATATATATTGCAAAAGAAAAATCACAAACGTCATTACTCCCGCAATAAAAATCGAAACTTGCCATTGCTAATTTGCTACCGAAACTTGTCCTCTGAATTTTTGTTTGTATTTCGTAAAGGGGAAATCTGAAATTAGAAGCAACGTGTTGTTGAGCATTCTTCACTCAGAAAAATTTTAAAAGCGAAAAAGTATCTACATGACGGCAACTAATGCAAATCCCTAATCAAATTTGATGGGAAGTTTAATTTTCCTGTGGTGGATAAGGAGGTACATTATTGGAAAAAGTGTAATATACCACATATTACATTTGTTAAAGATAGTTCTCAACTTTTGATGTTTTCGTGATATTAAATTTTTGGGGAAAACATTTGTCCTTTTAAACGATGTTGTATCCTTTTAATTTTTAACATTATGTATTAGTATTACGGGTAGTATATGAGGTTCGTTTTTTCTGCAGTTACTGCAAATAAGTTATCTGCAGTAAGCTTAATACGACGTCGTTTTGAGGTGAAAATCATGGTGTTTTTATAATTTTAATTTGTTTCAGGGTTATAATAGTCTTTATATTTATAATTTTTTAAGATTTCAATACCAAAACAACGTCGTTTTGAAAATAAATGCAGATAACATATCTGCATTAACTGCAGAAATATTTTTTCCATAGTTATAATATGAAAAATTACTTTTTTTTCTCTCCTCAATCATTTCAGTTGATGTGGAGAGAGAGAAAATGAAATTTTCATATTATAACTATATACTACCCATAGAACATAGTGTAAAAAATTAAAAAGAAACACACTTAACCCTAAATTTTTTGTATATATTTTGGTAAAACTTCAAAAGAAATTATAATCGTCAGATTGACAAAACTCAACGGTTAGGATTTGGTGTCAAACTTTTTAGTTTGATACCGGTGTCAAATAATCCTATCCATATATATAATATATATAATATTACATTAAATATAGTATACTATTTTTGAAAGAAGTGTGTACAGTACTGAGTCCAACAATATAAATGAAATTATTCAATGTCATCTGCCTTGTAAATGATCTTAATTGCAGGCAGTTAACTAAAATTTTGACCGAGTCAAGTTCTTTATGATCCTTTGAACAGGTACCTTCCTTGGCTTTTAATGGATTCTCATATGATCCTTTGAACAGGTACCTTCCTTGGCTTGTTTGTCTTCCAAGCCAACCCACTCAGAAAGGTGAAAGGGGCAAAAGGGTAGAGTGAGAAAAAGACATGGGATGTACAAGTGACCTTAAATGACCAAAATATTAAGTCTTTTAAGCTGCTGCAAAGTATTGCAACAACTTCAGATGAAGCTATTCAACTTCTATAATTAAAATTTGAATAGGGGTACTAACTGCTCTTTTTGTTCCTTTCTTTATTGTTCTTTTCTCTTTAACTTGAACCCAGGAAGAACATAAAGATACACATAGAACAAACGAAAAAAGAAATGCAAGAGAGCTCGCCATTTAAATAACCAAAAAATGAATGCAGAGAAGATGCTTATCTGTTTACTGATTTGACATAGTCAAGTTAAAGAAGACATAAGATATAAAGTGCCTTATGTTATCCTCACATTATTTAAAGAATTACATATACTGAATTTATGTGCTGCAACACCATCTAATATGCATTAACTAAGTACAAAAATTATTTCTCTTTTTGAAATAAGAGTAACTAGAATGGGGTGTTAGTTTGTGAGAGTGAGAAGAATCCAAGTGTAATCAATTGAAACCACATAGTAAAGTGGCTTTCAACTTACCACACAAGGCCAACAGATTGGGCTCAATTTACCAAACTATCAAACTCCAACTCCATAATTTAGTGGACCCACATTTGGAATTGCAAGTTGGGGAAAAAGATATGAAGGTGACTTGAAAACTTGAAAGCACCATATAACACCTGCTACACTACCCATTATTGTGGTCACTGACAAATGATATAATGTCCTTGTAGTCTTCAAGTTAATCCCTAGTTGGGTTTGGTTAGTAAATATCTACACAAAGATCATCCAAACTGAACATTTGATCATCACACGTGAGAAGATATTCTTTGCTGAGGTTAAAATCACTTACTTGATTCAAACGGGTGGTTAAATCATCTAAGAAAAAAATGTTTATTTTTGTTGAATTACAATTTTTGAAATTCTTAGCATCATCATGAATGGGACCCATTTGTAAAACAATTAAAGTGGCTCTTAGATTCATCATCAGCCGCGACTCTTTCAGCCCAGGTGTATAACATCATCCTAGGACAGTTAAAATGTGCCATTTGTTTGAGCTCAATAACTTAGGCCTCAAATCCAATAAAGGGTACAACGTTAATAATATAAAGCTTAGTATTTTGGCTTATGACATGGGAAAACCAGGAAAACCCAAACAAGAATCCCAAAGATGGTTTTGTAGGAGAAGGAACAGGGACAGGGGTGTGGGGCATGTCCTGTATGGCCCTTCCTTATGGAACACTTTATGTCCTCATCAGTCATCATCTCCCATTTTATTTTATATATCAACCTAGAAAAATTAGTATTGTTGAGGCACGAATTTTTGTTGCAATTGATACAAACAAATACAAACCTCATTATAGTTAAAATAACTCACCATGAAGCGGCCATTTATCATGATGATAGTCCACACTTTTGAATGTGGTGTGCTCAGCATATTCACGACAAATACATTTCAAACAAATAAAAAAAAAAGTTTATCTTTAATAAAAATTTGATTTGATTAAATAAGGAAAATCAACCCATAAGATGAGTTCAAACGTCCTGTTCTGTAAGTAAGAAGTTTGAGCAAGCACAATCAGAATGATTGCTTTAGCCTCATTCATTATTCACAAATTTATATCAGCAAGGCACCACAATAACATTATTTTATATACTGATAAGAAAGAGGGTTTGAATTAATAAATATTGCATTTGGACAGTAGCTGCTATATCCATATCAAATAGTGGAATTAACAAGGTCAAACAAAGCATACTTTTATTTTTATATACCTCTTAGGAAAATCAAATATTTACAATCACAAAAAAAAAGTGGGTCCAATCTCATATGGCATATTGTATCAAATAATATAAGCATGTCATTGCAAATAGTTCTCTTAGGTGAGCGAGATATACACTTGACTAGGTATAAGGGTAAGTAACTACTAAATGGTGCTGTGGTAGGCCAACCATTGAGGTACTTTGGGCGGAATATGGATAGTGACAACTATGTCTGACAATAGCCTCTCTGTTTGGCTAAGTGGTTAAATGGTGGTGGATGCCTATTCTTTAGTTTTCTGTTGCTTCCGTGGGGTGGTCACCCACATTTTTGACTCTCTCCAGGACCATGCTTTTTAATCAACACTTATATATTTCTGATATATTTTGATGGTCATTTTGTACTCTAATTTGGTTAACTGTATCAAACAAGGTAAGAATTGCGTTTTCCTATTTTAGGGATAAGATAATATGAATAAGATAAGGCACATTTATATTTTGGGAAATGATGGAATATTATATATTTGCAACTTTCCCGCTTTTAAAAGTTGGAAAAGAAAAGAAATTGATTAAGCTATAAAGAGTTTTAAGGGAACGAAAGATTTCAAGTAATTGTGACTAGAGTACTTATTTAGGTGTTAACGGTGTGTTCTCATTTTTGTTGAGACAATGAGGGTCACAATGATGAAATTAAAATTTGTAACTTTTCCTTTATGTGAAAGTTAATAATTTTAAGAAATCGCCAAATAAGTTTACTATGCATAGTACATTGGAAATCAAGCTAAAACAGGCTAGCTAGTTTACTTTGATTGATCTGGACCTTCCATGGAAAATATGACATAAGATCTTCCTACCCCAAAAGTTAAGAGTATGTTAACAAAGAGAAAATTGAAAGAAACGGAAATTGTAAGTGAAAACTAACTTAAACCTACTTTTGGTTAAATTGAAAATGAAAACAAGAGGCCAAAAAGAAGTTTATGCATGAAAATTGTCGTTCTCGTATGTCTTTCAGAAAGTTTTATGTTTTTTTTTTGAGCAGGTTATATTTACAAACTTTTTTGTTTACAAACTCTTACAAACTACACTATCTTCTCTTGGGAGAACACTCATTACACTATGTTCTCCCGGGAGAACATAGTGTAATTTGTAAAAATTTTCATAAAAAATTTGTAAACAGACCCTTCTCCTTTCTTTTTATACAAATAAAAGAATATGATGTAACTGTTATTACCCTTTGTACTTTTAATTATGGAAAAAATGTTTGTCATTTCAAATGACATAAAATTATGTCATTATAAGAGAGAAATAGACATAAGAAAAAAATTATTTAAAATTTAAATTAAAAAAAATCACTCACTTTCTCTCTCATGATTTTCATTCCTTGTGTCTATTTCTCTCTTAAAATGACATAACTTATGTCATTTAAAATGACAAACACCAAACTCATTAATTATTTTAACAATATTTTTAAATTTTTATTTTTTTTTAAATTTTCCAATAATT